GAATATATAACCGCGCGACGATTAGTGGCTGGCAGCTCTCCAACGTGGACAAGATGCGGGTTCTTGCAGCCACGACGCAGTCTCTCACATCCCGTACATACAATGCCAGTACACCATGACGGCACATTTCATATTTGAACCCAGACATACACATTGTATGTATAGGTAATATAACTGCTTTCATTGAAGCACGTATCGAGGTTCAGGGTTAAACCATTTTCAGCATTTTTAATACCCTAACTCACTGGCATTGTCGTAAAGTTGTGTTCGTACCTATTATCTGTTTTGGTGCTCGGTACAAGGCCATCGGTAAAAATAAAGTACTCCTAAAAGCCTGCCTCCTGAAATAAAACCTGGCCGAAGTGGAATGAATATCGAATGTTTTGGTATATTGAGATATTTCATATATTATGTACTTACGAGACTTTCGCAGACAGACAAAAAATATGAAGAAAAAAGGAATTCGATTGCTCGATCCGCCATCTAACATACGTATGTATAGTGGTATAGTACCTATATCCAAAAGCTTTAAGTATATGCATTTGCTACGAATGCGTATATTCCATTAGCGTTAAACATACGCTAGAACCTTTTCTATATTGGATCAGACGGTCAAGCATATCGATCTTACTTCAACCTTATTCAGAGGTCTTTTGTTAGCAACGCCATAGGCCATCAGATAACGTTTGAAATGGTGGGTAATCGCATGTAATGCTCAAGAATAGTGCGGCGTAGCTGTGGTGGATAAGAAAGCATCGCGAGTGCCAGGCCAGGCCAGCCTTGACCACGCCACCGGCCTGCACCTGATCAGATCGTATCTTTCACTATCGCTTTGTTGAGTCACCTTTGTGCTGTAAGGTCGCCTGCTCATTTACTTAGATAAAGAAAGATGGACGAGTTACTACAACACCATTCTCGGTGAACGTTCTGATTAGATTACGTTTATACGAAAACAAACCCATAAATATTGATTAAAACTTCTTCGTTACCAAGTCGTGTGAATTTCCATTCAATTCATTCGCGACAAAATTATCCTCTTTGTATGTTGACTTACCATTCTCAAAGTCTGGTACTTTCAGAAAAGTATTTTTTTTTTCAAATGAACAATAATTTTACGTGAACAAAAAATTTATAAAATACCTACCGCTCTTACAATTTGTATATGTTAACTTTAAAATTATTTCCATGCATAGGTATTAAAATGTAAATTGACTATAGTATTGACTACTAAAGTGCATAATATTTTCAAATAAGATGACTTAACAATGTTTGAAACCACTTTAGATTTCTTAAAATATCCAGACTGGTATAATTACCTACAGCTAAAATGAACTGCGCAACTGGCCTTTGAAAATAAGTTATTCTTTTACAAACGAACATTCATACCTACTTATCATATTTCACCACACTCGCAATATATGATAAAGTTTAGTAATAATTTTGTTGTCGACGTTAATTCGTATTACCATTTAATTTGAAACACTTCTCATTTAATTTAAGTTGTTTTGTGTCATGTGATACTAATAGACACGCGATGTCACTTTCGCTATGAACATCAAATTATTCTCAAACATCGTTGAAATAATTAGCAGCTATGTAAGTTATGCTAATAAACCATATAAGTAATGGTGTACAAACAGTTATGTAAGCATTAATTTAAATGTTCCTTCGCATTTATGACCGTTCCCCAAAGAATGTTCCAGAAAGGAAAATTACATTTCAGTGTAATTAAAAATTAATCATAGCGGTCACTTAGTTCGAAACCACGGGCTGTGCGTTTGCCAAGATCTTCACATCTATGAAAGCAACGCCGTGAGGCCTTTAGCAACACACCCAGCCGTTCGCACATTCATCAATCATGAAAAGGCCGCCCAAGAACTACACTGGTTGGCATTTTATTTACTTCTGAAAATGTATTACTCATAATGAATAACCACTTATCCAAATCTCTCGTTTGGAACGAACTCAAGTTAACAACCATAGGTGGTAAGCTGTGAGTAAGTATTGTAATTGGTAAACTTTGATCTAGGCCGTTTATGTGCGAGGTACCTAAAGTTAAATCGATCGTTTTGGAGGGTAAGCCCACGTTTGCACAGCTTTAACAAGTTTACTTTACCTACTTTTTACGAAGAATGAACGGTGAATATCGAAATATCGCAATCTTTAGACGTTTGTGGTCTTTGCCAAAGTTTCCGTCAAATTACGGTCGCTGCAAAGCGGTATCAAAGTCGACAACTTGATATAGCTTTAATAGACATGTCAGCTTACACACTCGCAAAGAGCTCAGAAGTTTTCCGCAGACATTGCATTTATTGTGGCTGTATTAGATAACGTTAACGTGATATTTTTGTAGAGTTATTGTTCTTGGTGTCGATTTCCGAGGAAATTGGTAAGAGGTCAAGAGAGACAAAGATCGTAGGAGGTACTTAATTACGAGAAAATCCTTGACAAGATTACTAGAAATATCTATTAACCCGTCGTGTGTCTAAACGTGGATCTACGCGAGACACAATGAATTTTCTATTGTGTCTCATATCGGTACATTCAAGTCGTTAATTATTATCGTGAAAGTCTCATTTATTTCTTTTAGCAGACAGAACAAAACAGACAATATTTTACGATTAAATCAGTACATAAGCAAAACTTAAACTGAAAATCATTAAACATTTTCTTATTGTAAACGTTACCTATAATATCGACACGACAAAAATAATTGAATAATATGTTTTCACGTCACCATGAGTTTAGTTGTTGCAGGTAACTACTCAACACAGTCTGTTGGCTAATTCATCAATCACGTCCTTCAGTCTGTAATTATGCCATAACTTAGCCGTGTAACCGTGCTCCCCGATTGTTTAATAATTATTTTAATAGCTCCGTAGGTAGGCACGGGGTCTGTAAATGTAAGCTCAACAGTGTGTTCAACAAATAGGTACATATGACATTGTTACTGGTCAAGCGGCGGGACGCGTGACTAGCTCTAATATGTTGTATGAACTTGTATGCCAGAATTTATGTTCCCTGAAAATAAAAGAACGCTATTTTTATGTTATCTGTTCCTACTAACACTTAATACATGTGAATTGTGACCGTTGAATAATGTGTTACTATTATGTTAATTGTAATCTGATGTGGAACAGAATATACCTACTGATAATTTACATATAGTATCAAAAAATCTGTAATACCTTTCGATATCTATTGAGGTTACGTCATCAATATTGTGGAGTGTGTCTCTTTACGGTTGCATGGATAAAAATAATAGGCAAGCGCATTCATTTCATTTATGCACCGCATAAGCTCAGTTTTAATAAAATTAAAAGCATTAATTTAACAGCTCAGGCAGGAACGCATACCGCCATAGAGGTATGTAAAACATACTAGGAAATTAAAAATGGGGTATTTAAATATCATTAAGGCATTGGCTGCCAATAAAAAACTGTTGAAGGCAAATCCTCCGCTAATGTCGGTCACCGGTGACTGCCATGGCGTTTAACGTGTTAATTAATAGAATCTCTGAGGTAAATCCTGTAGTAAAGATTTTTCAAAAATAATCGTGGCCTTTTTTGGCCACTAAACTGAATTATTAAATTCAAATCATTCAATTTTGGAATTTTTTGAACAATAAAAAGAAATAATATTTAAATCACTCCATAAAAACGTTACCCGTAGTTTAACCTAGACACAAAAAGCCGCGTATTGTAGATTAAAAAACGTTTGTCACTACCCCTATTCTTCACGTGAGTGTCGTCAAAACCAACTTAAGGGACTAAAGATTTGACATACGGACGGACGGAAACCTCTTTTAGAAACTGCTATTTTTAACTCACCTGCTTTGAGAAGAGATTGAAGTAAACCCTCTTACGGAAGAGATGTGGGCATTAGATACTATAATGGTATTTAAAAAAAATATTTTTTACGATATTCAGCTTACCAGCTTAAATGACTATTAAAAACTTTGCCACATTAAAAAAAAATAGGTACGTTCTTAATTTCAAATCGTTTGGAATCTTCAAATTAAATCGACACTCGCTGTCTTTTTTTTGAGGGAAATGGGAAATCATCCAATGACTTCTCCCATCTCCGGCGAGGCGACAGGAAGTGTCAGTCATCAGTACATCAGATCAGAATCATCAAATAAAAATTTTAGAAATTCCTAAAAACTGCGACGAATTTTCTTGGAATAATCAACTATTCCATTCCATAACCAACAAAATACCAACAGAGAATGACAATGAACCTCTTTCGATCATTTGTTTAAACTGATGATAAACTACCCGAACAAGCAAAGGCAAAAATCGTTAAATCCTTTTTAAAAATTGCTCTCATACTTGCCATTTAAACGCAACTTAATAAATTCTTACATCGAAATAATTATGCTTCGGCTACATTTTTTATTATTCCCTATCGATGTCCAATACTGCTTATTATGTTTAGATCTCAGGTGTGTGGTATCTTCCGTTCGGTACCCCACTGTTACAGAACATTTTTCATTTCGGTCGCTGACTGGCCAGGTAGAATAAGAATATTATAATGTATTCGAATTTCGAAGGAAAGTAGTGTCCGTCGAAAAAAATTGAATGCGATGAAAAGTTAAGTATTCGTTCGTTCTTTTTTTAATAATTAAGAGTACATATTTTAACTAAACCACGATCCAATAAAGGTCGCAGTGAGCCACTGGATGCCAGGATGCCGGTCAGCTCCAACTGACTGATGAAGGTTTTGGGGTAGGTCTATGTGAGGCAGTGGACGTCTTGTGGCTGGTAATATAAATGATTGTCTACTCCCGCACGGTTGTACCTACTCTGTTCGACTCCTATTGATCGCAGCGTGATTTTATAACCTATAAAATTCCTAGATAAATGCACTATCCAACACAAAAATAATTATATTCACTTGGGACCAGAAGCTCCGAAGATTAAGCAAACAAACACTTCAGCTTTATACCTCTATAATAAAAAAATAAAGTGAAAATAAAGGTTCAAAAAAACACAATCTCATACATTTCACTGAACAGATTGATATTTAATTCAACAATTAAAATATCGTTTGTTTTTAATATAAGCTTTTTTTATTAACTTATGACGCATTGAGAGTCCATTGCATTTGAACTAGATTGACCTTGGCCCCGAAGCATAGGCCTAAGTTTTTTTGTCTTGTCTTGTTCCGTTTCATTGGAAGCTGAAATAAAAGTATATATTTGTAAATATGTGTATACAATCTATACATACCTATATTTAAAAAATAATTACTGTTTTTTATGGGATAAGCCGGTAACCGAGCAGACGGATCACCATATCGCCTAAACTCGAAAACGGCTGGACTGGTTGGGCTAATTTTGGTCTTGCATTATCTGTGGAAATCCAAGGAAGGTACAAAAGGTAATAAAAAAATGTTTGAGACGGTACGATGTTTGCTGGGTCAACTAGTAGTGTGTGATGATGATTTTGTATGATTTATACAAAATTCTTATTTGTATGATTTATACAAAATCAATTTCAAAATTTCTATTATTATATATAATATAAGCAGACGGATCACTTTATGATTGGTTTTATGATAATAAGTGACAGCTCCTCCCATTAAAACTCGCAACATCAGAGGAGACGCAAGTGTTGGAAACACAATCCTGCTTCCCGATCTCCAAATCCGAAAAGCTAGTTACTCCTCTGGTGTTCTAGTCTTAGGTGTCCATAGGCGCGCCGTTTGCTTACCGCCCGCAGCTTCACACGCGCTTGTTAGGGTTAGGGGTACATTTATAAAAAAAATACTCACCATTTTTATTAGTCACAAATATCGCATACCAATGCACCATGTAAACTTCCACAACCAATTTCAGAGAAGTGGGGAGGGGCTTACAAAATAGAAGCCTATGACACTTTCCATCCCTTAGACTATTTGATCATCTCGATTGCACGAAACTGTTAAAGGATTTACTTCGTATGCAAAATGAAGTTAAAGAAATTAAAGAAGCATGTGTAACGCAGACACAACTGCAAGATTTTAAAGTGGAGATTTTGAAACTACAAAACGACTCCTTAATACCAGCACCTTTGCGTAACAGGAACTTGAACAGAAGCGGTTGGCCTACAGAAAGTGGCCCGATTGGTTTAAGTCATGTCGATGTATCACCAGTTCGTAGGGGTGGAAATGAGACCATCGAATCTCCATTGCAAATGCGAGAGGATAGTGAACAATCTATCATTAAAACAAAGGAGGTAGACGCAGAAGTTGTAGTTCGCGGTATGCAGCCCGATGTGTGGTCGCGACGAGTGGTTGAGGGCGGGGAGCGAGCGCGCGGGGGCGCCGTGGAGGCCTCAGTCAGCTGTGCTGATAACGTTAGATCAACTACTTTGTTGCGGAAGGTCGACAGGTCCGTGACGTCACCGCAGCAACGTACAATAGTGCGGGCGACAGCGACTACGATACCGACGGAGCCCATTGTACTTGAATCAGCGCGAAACAATAATAAATCAGATAATATTAACGAATGGGAAAAAGTTTCATATCGTAAAAAACGTAATATGAGATATCGATACATGGGAAGCACGGGTACCGCCAGGGAAAACGAATGTAAATTCAAAGCTGCAATAAAAACAGTACCGATTTTCATTACGAAGGTACATAAAGACACCTCGCAAAAAGATATTGTTGATTATATCTTTCACAAGACGGGCGAAGTGATCTCGCTTGAAGGTATATCTTTTAAATATCCCAAAGAATATAGTGCATATAAATTCTTTGTCTCTGAAACTAAGGTGGAGATGTTTCTTGACGATAAGTTATGGCCAGAGGGAATTATTTTTCGGAGGTTTATGCATTTTAAGATTAGAAATAACTCGAGCGGTGCAAGCGGCAGTGCTGTTATCGGCGTAAAGTAAACAACTATGTATAAGTTGTTAAGCTATAACTGCAAAAGTGTAAAACGTTCTGTAGAATGTATCAGGCAATTGTGTCGCAAGGTGGACATAATAGCCCTGCAAGAAACGTGGTTACTACCCCATGACATTTCATTCCTGGGCGATATAGATGAGGACTTCGCGTGCACTGGGACGTCGGCGGTGGACACCGCGTCCGGTATGCTGCGAGGGCGGCCATACGGTGGGGTTGCACTGTTGTGGCGGAAAAGTGTTTTCGACAACGTCTCGGTAGTGCAGTGTGATAACCCGCGAGTGTGTGCAATTAAAGTATGCATGAAATCAAGGGCCTTTCTAGTGCTAAGTGTATATATGCCGACGGATAATAGTGCAAACGTCGTGGAGTTCACGGATTGCCTCAGCTTGGTGAGTGCTATAATTAATAATAGCAATATTGAAACCGCTTTTGTCCTCGGAGATTTTAATGCGCACCCGCAAGAGCAATTCTACAATGAACTGACTTCTTTTGCTCTTGAATCCGAGCTATTCTGTGCTGATGTAGAACTTTTGGGAGTAGATTCTGATACGTATACGTTTATAAGCGAGGCCAACGGTTCGAGACGATGGCTGGATCACTGTGTGACAACAAGGGCAGCTATGTCTATTGTTACGAATGTATATGTTATATATGATGTTCTTTGGTCTGATCACTTTCCTCTTGTAATACAGTGTAATTTAGATGACATTAAACCAAAATTATATGACTCACCAAACAGTAATATCTTGTTAAGTAATAAAATAAAGTGGAATAACAGAAATATTTCACAAATTAATAATTATACAAAATTATGCAATGACTATTTAAAACATATTGACTTCCCTAGTGAACTGACAACATGTTGTGACAATGTATGTAATGATTTGAACCACAGAATTGTTATTGAGAAATTGTATGATGATATTGTTGGTGTTTTATGTCGGGCGGCTTCTGAGTGTTGTGAATTAAATCATGTGCGTAATAGAAAGCCGGTAGTGGGGTGGAATAAGCACGTCGGTGATGCTCACAGGCAGGCAAGGCTGAAATTTGAACAGTGGGTGTGTTTTGGTAAACCGAGAGAGGGGCGCATTTGGGATGAAATGCAAGAAAGCCGAAGGATTTTTAAGTCGCGCCTACGTTGGTGCCAGAATAATACTGAACAAATTAAAATGGACATGTTGGCGTCACACCATTCACGGGGCGATTTCCGCAATTTTTGGAAGTCCACTAATAAACTCAATGGTGGGCAGAGCCTGCCCGTGAGCGTCAGTGGCGTTGCTGACGTCACTGGTATTGCTGAGCTGTTTAGGCAACACTTTGTCGTAACGTCTCCGTTGGGGCCATCGCAGTCTGCGTGTGATGTGGACTGGACTGGTCGACAGACATGTATCCGCTTTAGAGCCAGAGAGATAAGGCAAGTTATTATGTCCATGTCAAGGGGTAAGTCTCCCGGCCACGATAATCTAAGTATCGAGCATCTGAAACATGCGGGTCGTCATTTGCCTAGGGTGTTGGCAATGTTATACTCCTTTTGTATGGGACATTCATTTATGCCAAAGCAAATGATGAAGACTGTAGTGGTGCCAATTGTCAAAAATAAAACCGGGGACATTAGTGATAAGAATAATTACAGACCGGTTTCATTGGCTACTATTATCTCGAAGGTGCTTGACGGTTTGCTTGACACTCAGCTGGACAATTTCATCCATTTACACGACAATCAGTTTGGTTTCAAATCCGGTCTGTCCACGGAGGCTGCGATACTGTGTCTAAAGCAAACTGTGAAGTATTATACTGATAGAAGTACGCCTGTCTTTGCCTGCTTTCTGGATCTATCGAAGGCATTCGATCTGGTATCATATGATCTGCTGTGGCATAAAATGCAGCAGGTTTCAGTGCCGGACGGAATTATTCGGATTTTTCGGTACTGGTACAACAACCAAGTTAATGTTGTTCGGTGGTCGGGGGCGTACTCGGCTCCGTACAGGTTGGAGTGTGGCGTTAGGCAGGGAGGACTGACCTCTCCGAGGCTCTTTAACCTGTATGTGAATGCGCTGATAGAGGAGCTCAGCAGAACGCATGTAGGTTGTCATGTCGGAGGGGTGTGCATAAACAATATCAGCTATGCTGACGATATGGTGCTGCTGAGCGCCTCTGTTTGCGGGTTGTCGAGGATGATTGGCATTTGTCAGCAGTATGCTGAAAAGCATGGTTTAGTTTACAACACGAAGAAAAGCGAGTGCATGGTCTTTCGGGCCAAGAAGAGATGTCCGGCTCAGATACCAAAAATAATTCTAAATGGACACCCTCTCAAGAGAGTAGATACTTTTAAATATCTTGGACATATTCTGACCTCAGACCTGGAAGACGATGCTGATATTGAGCGGGAGCGTAGGGCGCTGTCTGTTCGTGCGAATATGATAGCCCGTAGATTTGCAAGATGTTCGGAGAATGTCAAGATAACCTTGTTTAGAGCATTTTGTACGTCTTTCTATACGGGGGCTTTGTGGTTGAGTTATACGCAGAAACAGTACAGCGCTCTGCGTGTTCAATACAATAACGCGTTCAGGATGCTCTTGGGGCTGCCTCGCTTTTGTAGCGCATCGGGTATGTTTGCCAGCGCACGGGTAGACTGCTTCAACACAATCATGCGCAAGCGGTGCACGTCATTAGTGAACAGGGTGCGGGGCAGCCGCAATAGTATCCTGAGCGCCTTTGCTGAACGTTTTGACTGTCAGTACATGAACCACTGTTGTATGGTTCATGTACTGGCTAATGTGAAATTATTGTTTTGAGTTGGGAGATTATTTTAGTGATGACTGACTTGTGATTGTGACTTTTATATTGTATTATGGTTTGTAATGTGTAATTAATGATCTATGTAATTGATTGAAATAAATGGTAATAATAATAATATTCTCACCTGTTTCACATTTATAATAATAGTATAGAAAAAAAATGTAGATACCTACCTGACTTTCTATTTCCATAGTACCTCGACCCTGTTTGTAGCGACATCTCAACGAAAAAGCAGAGGAACACAATTAATAACATTTTCATCTTCATCCTTGTTAGTCACAAACACGTCGGTATTGAACTCAACTATAATAGAAAGTAAGATATGGGAAACAATTGATTCGTTTTATAATACAATGTGTAGCCATTTTTGTTGAAATACAGGCAGGTCCAGATTTTTGAAGCGACATTAAATAATAATGGAATGAAACTCATTGCAAGAGAATTTGCCCAAAAAATATAGAAATTACGGGCGAATTGAGGTCGAGAAACAGATGGCTGGGCGTTAGAAGATGAAAATTATCTTATTGTCAGCTGAAAAACCTCATGTGACAATTTAAAAGTTAGCAAACAACTGGTGTGCTTCTTATTTTTTGAAATGTGTATTTTTGAATAGCGTAAAAAATATTTTTTTAATGCATCTTCACAGAAAATGTCTTGTTTTGACTTTTTCCGAGTTATATGTACTTTTTGATATTATTTTGACACCACTGACAAACGGTGAACGAAAACATTATGAGGAAACCTGGGCTTATTCTTTTCTAATTATAAATTTGAAATCGCCAACCCACATTGAACAAGCGTGATGATTAATGTTCAAAACCTTCTTCGTGTGAGAAGAAGCTTTGCTTAGCAGTTAGGCACTTATAGGCTGTTGATGATGATGATGATGAATAAAGGGTTTTATTCACTTTGCCTCGTTTGTTAATTTATCTGGGTCAAAAGTAATTGTCGTTTACCCCCTTTCTTATGACAGATCGTTCTGATATTTGGTAAACACTCCTAACTTGATGACCATTCAATATTATCTATTTTTTTTTTACAACAATCTTCATTATGGATGTCAGACGTAAAGGCTTGATTGGCAAAGTGGAGCTTTTATTTTTTTTATATTACTCGTTAACTCATACTGTATATATTTTTTTTACCTGGTTACGTATTAGCACGTTTACTGTATAATTAATAAGCGATACTAATCACAATTATTGATGCAATACAGATCCGTGAAATCATTTAGAAGCATAATTATACTTAACAGATTTTTATAATTAGTTTTATTGATTGATTAATAATATGCGAGAAAATGCATTGATAGTCGTGTGGTTAGAAACTACACTGTCGGGGGTTACAGGCTCCTTTCCCAAGTTGGCCAAAATATATCACACTAGCTTCTGCCAGTGGCTTTACCTGTGTTTCCTTGGAATAAAAAGAAACCTCTGTGTCAAGTGTGGGAGAGCCATGCTTCGGCACGAGTGGACCGGCTCGACCAGAGCGATACCATGGCCTCACAGAAAACCGACGTGAAGCAACGGCCTATTCGTGCCGAAGCATAGCTCTCCCACACTTAATTGTACTACATTGTACCTACAGTGGCATTAAGTGCCATAATGCGCATCTCTGCCTACCTCTTCGAAGATAAAAGGCGTGATTTATGTTAAAATGAAATAATGACTAATCGTACATTCGAGTCATAGATGTTGGATACAAAGCAAAGTTAATTAACGTTTGATATGTGTATCGCTCGCCCACGCTAGATGATGCCGCCAAAAAGCAACGCCAACTCGCTTCCAGCACAGTTAGATGAGGTTCATTTGGCTACAAGACCAGCATCTGCGGCTGAGAGTGTTTGGCAGACCGGGACGGATATCTGCTGCTTTTGCTGGCATCATGGCGCAGGTTGAGAGCCAAACGACTCCAGCATACGTGTTTAATTCCGCAGATGGCAAAGGATTAGAAAGCATCATACGACTTTCCCATTTCATATTTTCCACCTAAATTTCGTTGTCACAGCTCTTTTATCGAGATAAATTTGAAATGGCGAAGTTTGAAGTGGACTTGGACAATGGAGTCGAAACAACAATTTTATATATCCATCTGTTGCGTGAACTTATACTTTAGAGATAGTTAAAGACCTATTTAGCTCGTTGAGCGAACTTCTTGCTAGTGGACAATACAAGTACACTTTACAAAACTAGTTAGCCGTCTGTGGAGCGCAAAGCTTGCAATATTGATTTCGATATCCTACTAGTTTTATACTGATGCCATCTATTTTGAACATTCAGCCAATTTGTTCGGGCTTGGTGGGCAGTTTGTTACGTATGAACTTAGGATTATTTATACACGAAGGTAGTGCAAGTTTAACTTAAAAGATTACGATACCATATTACTTTAAAATTGTGACCTTGCCGTTTTTTGTCAGTTAGGCACAAACTTAGACACTACCTAAAAATATTTATAACTAAGAATATTTATTAATAACCACATGAATCTATGTTTCTAGTTGTAAAACATAAATAACGAATTTACTTGCATGATTTGTGTATTGCTTAGACATGGAATTTACGCTCCACTTCTTCCCCGTAGCGTTGCCGCTAAGAAGTTTATGTGGAAAGGAGTTCCAATTAGTGATTTGGCACAGTGCTGCAGTGTTTGGTTCGAATCATAACTCAAACTTCCTGTCAGTGACCAAGACGTTGTTTTCGCACAGGCTTTCAATAAGATTCTATCAATAATTAAATTATGTACATTATGGATGCTATGCTCTTATTTGACATAGTCGTAAACGTCCTGTTTTCAATACAGGATGTCCGAGTCTAGAAAATTATTTATGTGAATTTGGTAGCTTTGAGTAGATAGCTTCCTAGAAAGTAACCTGGTAATCGCTATATTGCAATGTAATTTTTTTGAAAAGTTTAGCTATCTATTACTTATCACCTATATGGGACTCATAACATAACTGGTGAAACTAGGGCTGGTGCTATATTGTAATACCTTCTGAGATTAAAAGGCGTGATTTTGCTCTACACATATAATTTACCCGTATATAAGTTTTTATCTGTTTGCGTTAAATATACCTACGTAATAGAGTACTTACGCATGTTGTAGTATGAAAATCTATGTAATATACTTATATAACACAATTATAAATTAATATAACTAAACATCTTAAAATTAACTAAAACAGTGAATATAAATGAAGAAAAATATAAGTAAGTTACATTGTTGTGGTGACAAAAATTTGTATAATTCTGTTATCATTTCAATGTCAGCGGTCGCCGGTCGCTTTAATATCCGTCGAGTTCTGTGCATTGTTGCGATAACTGGATTGGTTCTGTTGATTGATTGGACAGGGGATGGAGCGAGGAAGCGTCGATGTCCACTTATAATAAATTCATTATTATACCGCTATTCTTATGGCTTTTCTAGGTGGTAGGTGCTTATTTGATAGTTATCCATTTGCGGTTCAAAGGACGCCTGTTGATACTGGCAACAAAAGTAGATTGTTATGTAACATGCCCATTTTTCACTAATAACTACTTAAAAATAATGCTCTGTAGTGTTAACTCGTACTAAGGTACGAGTTTCATTTACGTTTAAAGTATTCGGAACGAGTACGCGTTCGGCACTCTGATTGGCCGGCGCCAATGAACGAACCAATCAGAGCGCCGAACGCATACTCGTTACGATTACTTTAAACGTAAAGCAAACTTGTACTAAGGCCTCTGTACTGTGACAAATAATAAAAAAAAATAGAATTTAAAAGACATAAAACGTGAGTTGAACCTCGGATGATCGAAACCAGGGCTATCATTGGGCAGATGTGTTTAAAAACAAAAACAGCCATATTTGTTAACAGATAAATAGAAATTGTTTAAGATGGCTACAACGTTTTTCTTCCCGTCATTTGTTTTTCATAAAAAAACATTACAGAGGAAAAATAACAGTGTCTTGTTTTTCCGGCACCAATTTCCTGTTACTAGTGTTGTATTTGTGGGATGAGAGAAATACACAAAATAAGGAAAACGGTTTTTTAATCAACAAAGTTTATTTTATGTTTTGGATAAATATTTAACATACATTTATGTACGAATATCACGATACATCAAAGACTAGACCACAATGCGATATTTGGTAATTTACAATTGGTAATGGCAAGTACACACAATAACTTAGGATAAATAACCGATATTGTATGACCATTATATTACAGTCGATATAAATGTTAAAATAGTAAAATATTATAGGTTTATCACATTATCTTCTTTAAAATAACATTGAGTATTTAGCAAAAAATACTATATATAAAATCGACCATCGTTTAGATACGGTTCACTTCACCATCAGTCTTGGTCTTACGCACCATACACAATACCTTGATAGACTAAAAATTTTAGACTACCATCAACCTAAATCCATTCACATTATAATTGCATTTTGAATATAACAATTGAAAAATACACGATCTAGAACATTTAATTCTATGATAGTCACATAAGGTCTTTTACAACCAATATATTTAACACGCGGAAAAGGCTAACCAGCATTACCCACGTTATATATCGTTCTGTACAAGTACCCTTACATTTCTTAACAGTTGGTAGGTATTTCACATTTCGTGATATTGACCTTTAAAAACTATCAAATAGATAAATATTTTTAACTTCAAATATGATTATGAATACAAATGATTCACTAATGTCGTAGTTCGTCATCAGTTTCAACAGCTTCACAGCTATGGTACTTGGAAGACGTGTCGGGACAGCTGTCAGCTACTGACAAATCATCTGATGATGCAGCCGGGGCCTCGTGCGCCGCTAACGGCATCAATTCCTCGTCACCTCCATTGTACGTAGAATTACAATTACGTTTAACAGCTGTAGTTAAAGGTTCCGTTTCACGAGTCCAACAATCTGTGAAGGAATTTTTCATTATCTCTTCGTCTGTTGTTGTTAAAGATAGTGTTCAGTTGATATGTAGAGGTAGTGGAGACGGTACTACGACCCTACCTCTATTATCATCTCATATTCCATTATAAAATTGGTTTAAACTGTCAAACACCAAGCGGTCACCGGTGATCGCAACCTATTGTTCTATTATTGTGTCTACAAAACCGGTACTCGACGAGTTTAATGACATGACTAGTGCTCTAATAATATCCATAATCGTTATATAGACCTATATTTACACAGTGAACATGAACTTTATAATATTTATTAAAACCTTTGCTGTACTTCCATTTCAATAAATAACGAGAACCATTAACCATACAGATTCTAAGCGGCTTTTAGTCCAAAGTCCACTTAGCATACATTAAAAACAAATGTATGAAAACTCTTCGAGTGCAAACTGCATTTTGCAATCTTGTGTCCTGTGATCAGGCGCCACACTAAACTATTGAGTTAATGCTTTAGAAGCAAGGTGTCATTTAAAATGTATGCAGCCGTAGAGGCTCCTAGCATAGCTCTAGTTTCTTACGAGTTCCCCTCATGCAATGTCTAAAACGTTTTACAAAGTTTATTATGAATAATAAATGCCTTTGTAAGACGTGGTTCCACGTGCCTTGAATGACAATATAAAAAGAATACAACTTTATAGGAACTTTACATTATTCAGTCTTACGTACTGCATGCCAATAATTTTTGTTTTAAGTTTGATATTTATAAGTTTCGTAATTTGCAACACCGAATTAGAGGGATAATCTAAATATATATGTATAGGAAACTAGGTCATACTCACTAGGTCGTTTTTCAGGCGGCACTGGTTGAACAGTGGTAGGTGGTGGTAACTTGCTCGCTCCACGAAGTTTCCGTGGGCTCCTCGCTAGTGCGTGCGATATGCTCGGCAGCCTGATATCAAGGTGCGACCCTCTCTCAGTGACGATCTTATTGTTCATAGCGTACAACTTGGTGGTGATGTCGCGTGCTATCAACGTAGTCACTACGCACGCGAGGTACGGCTCCTTAACGAACAAGTATTCCAAAGAACTGCGCTGCCAGTACACGTAGCGGCATGATGACGCAGCCACTATCGACACCTGAGTAAAAATGCCTTTGTTTCAGAATAAAAGAAAGTTATTACTAAGCAAATGCTTTTATATCTTGATATAACAAATAGAGGTTATTATTCGTCATTTTAAGTAAATATATTTAACCGATAAACTAAATTATGATGGTCAAATAATGCAGTCTCCACTTAACGAGAAAATTTACATTTAATTGATCGATGTATATTTCGAAAACTTTCAACTTAGAATAATGCTACGCCGTAGCACCGTAGCCGGCGTAGTATATAGCAGACGATATGCTCGTTAAAGTTTTTCTAAGTTGCATTAATATTTATTTTTTACACTTCTAGAATGATATTAGATGGATTCGATTAAAACAGATCTTACATTACGTCTAATCTGAAAAACTTTACTTACACAAAGTAAACAGAAGAAATCTATTCGAATGAACACATAAATCTAATTGAGCTACAGATCGTTTCTTGCACGTAAAGCCTTTCTTAATAAAATAAATAAACATAATTGAAACGATGTCAAAAAGCAGCCTGTCATTTTACTATACGTCTACATAATAATGTCGCCTGTTATCGCGGTTGTGTAAAGAAAGAAAGCTATTACTGGACTTGATGAGTACCCGCCGCCACGTTCGGGCGGAGAGCCATTTTAATAAACTATCCAACTAAATATGTGCTACATTATTATGATGATACGACATTCAGTAAAATGGGAAGCACGCACGATTCTTCAATATAAATAAATCAACTCATGACATTAACAATTCAATGAAATCCATGTTGACTAATTTCATAACGTAGTATTTTGTTTACCATTGATGAAATTAAAATTTTTAGTACTGCACGCTGCATGTTAACAATACACCTACGTAAAAATGCATATATGCATGAAAACAAAACGCGTTCCACGGCCCGTCCAAACCATGACTCAATATCCAGTTTTCTAGACAACGTGGAAAGCATTTGACCCGCCTCAAATATTGACATTCTTCCTAAATAAAGGCCTATAAGCTGACATTCAATACATGTAATAAAATATGACACAAAACATACTAATTATGTCGTTGTAGGAACGAGATTTATTTATAGTAATCTACAGCTACATTAAAAGTGAATGTTATTGACAGCTAAAGAAGCAATTTAGGTAAGTTCCGTACGTCTTTACGAGACTGTTTAGACTTCATCGATATTTAACCCAGTTTCTTGCATTTATAGCCACTTCAGTCGTTGTATAGCCATATCAGGCAACAATTAGGTCAACGGAATGGGGTAGGTAATGCCAAAGCACGATCAACGATTTTGTATCACAGTCGTGAAAACAATATCAGTCGGTGTTGATAATAATCATTATGTGAATGGAAATGGAATCATTTAGAAACAACGTGGAACGTAAGTAGTTTGTGGCGGGAAAGGAAAAGTAATCACGAGAATTACTGATCCATATTTCATTTTAATATGATTCGTTTACATAATAGTTTTTCATTACACCAAAACATTAAGCGTCTTATTTCTGAGCATATGACTTCAGAAGTTTTTGGGTTAAACAGATATTGTTTTTTCTTATACACATATTATTTTTTGTGACTCTTCCAAATCGTTCAACGTTTTATTTCGAGAGAAAACAGAAAACTACCCTTGTGTCACCGGTAGGTACAACAATTAGAAATTAGCATTTCCTATTTCCATTGAAGCACTGACTTCCTACGTTGACCCAGTAAACGGTGCATGAACCGCTCATATCTTCACAGCCGTAATACCAATGAAGGAAGCTTTTTACTTAATGGCACTGAGGGTTGAGTTAGTAACCGAACCCATCACTTCTTTGTTGTACCTATGACTCAGGTTCGCGGCCCCTAACGCGTAAATGTATCACTTAGCGATACGTGACACATTGTATGAGCAAGTGCGTAAGCTAGAAGGTGATAAAACTTCTTCTTATCTTTCCGTACCCTGCATTTCGTAGTAAAATTGTCGACTTGATATGTGATAAGAAGGTCTATAAATTTCGTATCGTTGTGTTCAAAAAAAAGCACAGACAAACTTTCTGACTCACAAACAGGCTCAATTTATTTTGATTTGGTCCTAAACAATAAGGAATTAATAGTATTATTTAAATGCGTATCATTTAGATTCTTATTTGTTTATTTGTACGTAGACAACTAAGCCTTAGTCAAGTTGCGTCTGAACCGCTCAATGACATCATGTGAACTAAAAGGAGGTAATAAAATAGGTTAATTGCAACACAGATACCCAGTATAGATACGTCATGAGTGACGTCACCTCGAAACTAATTCGCGGAGGTATTATCACAGCAAACATTTTGAGCAGAGTTATTGGCGTGCATCGGCCGGCCAACGAGGTGTTTCGAGTCTGACACACGCGAGAAATTTATGCGATTTAGCTTGCAGTTTGTTTATGACCCGTCCCAGGAAACGAAACTGTCTACTTTATGTGGCAACGACCGTTCACGTCGGCTTAGTTTTTATTGCTTCAAGGCGAGCGAGAAGATATAAAACTCAATATCGATCAATCAAAACGATATCTTGCCTCAAAAATGGTGTTTATCATAAAATAAAAGTAAAGTTTTCAGTGATTATAGCAATAATTGATTGTTAACTGGCGGGTTTAAAAATATTGGCTGTCTATGTCCAATATATTGGCTATCAAATTAATAATTAATATTTGCGTGCCACGTTTAATCATAGCTCCAATAAATACAAATAGGCAGATAATAACCCCAAAAATCTTAAATATTGAAAAGAGCAACATGATATTAAGGCGACCTTTACCCACACTAAAACCTTTTGTAACATTTATTAAAATAGGTTAGTAGGTTTGGAGCATTGAGTACGGAATACACTATACAGTGTCAGGAACCCCACTCCCCTTGAGTAATGAACTCATCAGACCGCCCCCCAACCGTGTTAGTTAGCTCCATAGCTTTGGTTAACAAGGTGACGCTCTACCCCAAATCATTATTGCGTGAAATAAGACGCCTTTACATTTACGTTTACATAATTGTACAAATTACAGAAGATGAATAGAATTCCTCTTGATTAAATGAGATTCGTTAATGATATAATACAAGAAATTTCTTAGTATATTGCAAGATTAACTTAAAAACATTTTAGAACATAAGATTATTTACTCACCTTAAACTTTTCATCGATCGTAGCTCGGCTAGATTCAAACTCGGGAGAGTCCAAGAACTCACATGGAAGTATAGGATGTAGGAACTGATGGCCGCTCATAACGTTTACCTAGACAAAAAAGAATATTTCTTTGCAAACGGAAATAATGAAGAAGCAATTAAAGACCACGCCAAACATCAGTCACTTATTATGTGAATATCGATTAATACTGGAATCTTGTTAAGGGGGCTAGTTATAATGTTGTACGTAACAAAATTAGAACACTAAACATACGTTCTTTGTTCAAAATATTCCCTATTCCACGTGTAAAGTTGGGATGATTAAAGAAATGTCTGTGTTGGGTTTAACAACGGCTTTCGCAACCAACAACACATTTGTAAGAGGAGATTTGGGTGTATTATCCGGGCCCGGGGTGCGAACCTACAAATAGGCACTCTGCTAACTTCAAAAGGAAAAGTACCTACGTGAAAACGAAACAACTGTTTTGCTTTACGCATTCACTCTAGTACTGGATAAAAATATGATGGATATCATTCAATGGAACCAATAAATGATTTTTTCAAAGTATTTTCATATATAACCGAGATAAATTGAGCAATTAATAACAACGACATGTAATGATTTAATTTATGGAATAGGAGGCAAACGAGCAGACGGATCACCTGATGGTGAGCGATCAAGACCGCCCATGGACACCCGTAACACCAAAGGAGTCACAGGTGCGTTGCCGGCCTTTTTAAAAGGAATACGCTCTTTTCCCGAAGGACGTGTCGGTTCAGAAGTCTATTGCATCTATTTTAGCCTTACCCTAAATCCTATGATTATAAATATAGGCAGATTTACCTATTGAATAACGTCTAATCTTCGTAGACTACTAACATTAGTTGAAGAGAAATATGTAAATAAAAAAATTTAATACATACTAATTCGTATAATGACAAAACGTGCTCATTTTACAAACAACTCCCTAACGAGACACATCTAATACAATATTCAGTTTCAAAGCTAAACATGTACATACGAGATCACATTTCATTCAATCGCAGAAAGAATTTTACGATCATTTTAACATGGCATCTTGATAAATTGGTGTATGGAGAGTGAATATCGATGTAGTTACTCCAATATTATCTGAAGGCATCGTGTAGGCACGTGTCTGTCGTTAGGCCATCGAAAATTCATTCTAAAAACTGCACTTAGATACCTACTGACTAAAGAATTGTTTAAACTTTCAACTATACGGGTACCGTAGCATGCTTTCATTTCAAAAGTCTACGTGGACTTCGAAGGTGAAAGCAGTTAAGTATAATTACGTTTTAAGCGCCTTCTAGAACTTGAAGTGGGAAGGTAGGATTTAATTAAAATAATAAGTTTAGTTTATGATATGTATATATGAATACATAGCGTGTAATGCAATAACTACACGAAGAAAATTCGATTTTATATAAATATTTTGATAGGAGAAGTAAAAAGAAAAAATAGGAGGGGTACAGTTCTGAATTAAGTGCCTTCTAATTAGTATTAGTGACTTTTTCCATTAATCTTAAGATGTGCGAGGGTCATTCCACTGTGTGTATATGTTCTTCAGCGAGAAAAATAGAACGGTTTGTCACTTAAATCCATTAATCCAGTTCAAACGTGAGTTTATGTATCAAAAAAGATCTAATCGTGCTAATACCTAGTTTTCGGAAGTTCTAAAAGCTGATAAATCGTTAAGTAAATGGAAAGGTCTGTTATTTTCTGAAAGCTACTAATGCGATTAAAATTTTTGCCTTAAAGATACTATTATTTATGCTTCCAGACTATTTAGACTTTAAACAAAAAGGTTTAGTATAACTTTGTTTACTAAAGTCAAGGGTCTCAGTTTTCGCAAACTATCAGCAACTAGACAAACCCAAAAAGTCCAAAGTTTAACAAATCTAACCAAAAATGTGACGTAAGAATCAGGTCGTACAGGTCTACGCGAAAAGTCCCAACCGACCCCCAAACCACCTAATGGAAGCAGGAAAATGAGCTTTCATTCGGAAAATTCTTAATTCGGTTTCTTTAATATTTTGGGGGACCCCGAGTGCCTTATAACGATTATAAAGGTATAATGTCGAGTTTAAAAATACAGGCCTTTTTGGTTGAAAGATGACCCAATAAAACCCCGGATACCGCGTACATTCACCCTCGGTACCACAAGTGCTTAAAAAAAGGTTGGAACGTTAGTTAAGTACTCCTTTCCTTGTTGTTACGTAACACTTATGGAGTGATCCACAAAGTGAGTTTCGAATTTCAATACAAGTACATAAGTATTCGTAAGTGCTGAGAATAAGTACTTTTACGAAAATGTTTCCGTCGCTAATGAAATTTTAAAGAACATTTGGTTTTTCTTTTGAATCTAACTTTAAAAACATAACGTAAATTGAGGAGAGACGAAATTTTAGCATATGTGCTGGAAGTCGTTAATAGATTAAACTCTACGATGTTCTACGTCTACAATATGTCTATGTGCACCTCTATCTATCTTCATACGATTGTATGATTATTTAATGTTATGTTATTTCTTACCTTTCCAGAGAGCAACAAACCCAACCGATCTGTTTTAGTTAAGTTCTGCATTGCATACGCTTCTCCTGCGTGTAAGGACATCACGTGAGCAAAGTCTGGAGATACCATGCGTTTGAACTGTAGTCTCGACACCTAGTGTGGAATGATAATATAGTTTTAGATGGGCGCTGTATTAAAAAAATATTTGTGATGTACACAGGGTGGCCGGGCAGTTGACGTTCAAGCGTAAAATTTAGATACTTTATGATGAGGAGTATCCAAATCACCCCGTATGTTCTACGTTTTGCGTAGTTTTCAAGTTATAATAATTTTAACGATTTCTTTCCTAATTCTTACCTAACAACAGTTTTAGATTTTTTCTCATTCTGTTGGACGTTTCTGGTTCAGGTTTTCTGTGATAACTGAATAACATAGTCTAACCTAGAAATAGGTTCTAGGTTAGACTATGTCATTAAACTTATGATTTATCTAGGCATTGCAGAATTTACTTAGAGTTTCTTCAAAAGTTCAAAATTACGATTTGAGCTCATCCTTACTAATATTATAAATCGGAAAGTGAGTTTGTTTGTTTGTTCCGCTTTCACGCTGTAACTACTAAACCTATTGCTTTGAATTTTTGCAGACGTAAAGTTAGAAGTCTGGATTAAATAATAGGGTACTTTTTATCTCGGAAAAATTTGATATTCTCGAGGAAAAACGAAATCATTGGTATAGATGGCGCTGTGTGTATATGTCACATAGGCTACTTTTTATCCTTTTGTGACGCAAGCGAAGCCGCGGGTAAAAGCTAGTGACAAATAAATTTTCAAAGTATTAAAAAAATGTTAATGTTGCTGTCCCTAAGATCAGAACAGGAGAATCCTCGGACCAGGCGAGGCGATCGTGTCTGGCGGGCTTTTTACACAAAAGTGGTTCGTTTTAGGGTGCTAGGTTAGACTATGTTGGTCAGTTAGGTAAAAATTACGATAGAAATCATTAAAATCATTATACTTAACTCGAAAACTACGCAAAATCGTAGAACATACGTGAGGTGATTTGGATACTGGATCCAAATTTTACGCTTGAAAGTCAACTGCCCGGCCACCCTGTATATGAGTTATTATTTACACAGTAAAATTGTATAATGGTTTGTTTATAAGGTCAGAGTGGCAAAGACTCTGTGGTCCGTGCTCGAGGACTGAGCAAAGAAGTCTCTTTTCTCTTCGGTAGTATCTAACTTTAACTTGTCTCAGAAGTAAGTTGAGCCCGTTATAACTTTGACTTGTTCTATAATCTGTGGGACTGTAAAGGGTCCATGAGCTACAATACTGTTGTTAATTACTATTCTAGTTTAATCTCAGCTCGAACAATACTTTTCATGACAAATCTTAGTTAAACAAATATCAAAAATATCATTACCTTGAACGGCTCAAAGAGTGTATGATAGACTTCTTCTAATTCTGGGTCAAATTTAACAGGTCTCATTTCGTAAACCAAATAGACCACTTGTGCGAGATTCAGGAACACGAAGCCGAAGTTCCAGGAGAAGGCATCAGGTGAACATATTACGTGCCATGCCCATATTGAATATAGCATGAAAGCTACGGGAAACGAAAGAGTATCAACAGGATTTCTGTAGCTGGGCTAATTTGAAAGAATTAACGAAATTTGATGGTATATGAAGTTCATAAATAACGGCATTTTCCGTTCTATGGCGATAAAAAATATTTTCTCTTGTCTGTTGTATCTTATTATCTAAATGTGTGGATTTAAATAGGCATTATATAATTTGCAATATACCTAACTTACCAAATATTAAAATCGTGTGCATCCACAATTGACCTTTTTTCGTGCTAGGAGCGCAGTACGAAGCCACAAAAAGCATGTTAGATAGCTAAAATAAAATATAATGGTTAGAAGATTCTGTTGTGGAAGTGGAGATAAATTTGTAAATAAACCCATAAATAAAGACACATGTCTGTCCATGTGAAATATATTTATTGTTTACTGACCTGAAAGAGTGGATGTTGTGTCGTCCTCCAAAGTGGACACCAAGGCCAATACCAAGGTCCTGCAGGTGTTTAAAATCTGTGTAATTTGTTTACACACACAAAGAAAACATTGCTAAATCCTATATTTACCTGAAGGCATTGTATAATTTACGGATCCAAAATCATGAAAAGTTCCGTTTTCTCCAGGCCAGGTAAAATTGTATTCACCAATTTCCAAAAATTCACTCTTTTTTGCAAACACTCCGTGTGGCATTTTGATATTTTAAGCTTTGCAATTGCTAATGAATATTTTTTCCATACGATTCGCAATCGTTGTCGTATTGTCGACGGGTTCGCGCCAAATCAATAACATCCGTTTTGAGTTTTGTCAGGCAACCTAACGCCATCTGTAAAGTTATTCCAAAAACTTTCAGGACTTATATTTTTAATTGCCATATGTAAATAACACACCCTTGTGGCCTTGACCTGTTAGTTATAACTACTTTTAATTCATTAAACCATTAGGGTAACAAGTCAAAGCTATTAAAATAAACAAAATGTTTTTAATTTCATTGATCCCATCAAAGGGTCTCATTGCTTAGTTATATTTTAGTCGAGTTTCCTCAACATTTGACATCTACACCACTGAAGATTGTCTATCGATTAAATACAGCTCTAAAACCAAAGACAATTCCACATTGACATTATAAAATCTATGAATGAATCAATTTTTAATTTATCCTCTTCTCTTCTGTCATTCGTAGCAAAGTGTGATGTGAAGTGGTGCGGATAATTCAACAAAAAAAACCTTAAATAATTTGCGATGAGGTAGCACCGGTTACTCAAAAATAACTAAACAACATCTAAGTAATATGCCTTAACTCTTTTGTGTTATAAACCTTTATAATAATTTTCGCGGGAATGCCGAACATTAATAATACCTGCGCTGCCAATGGTAAGTCTTGTACACTTGATTAAATATCGTGTGACTCATAAAAAATAGAAAAATACCATGTGAAAGACATGAAATTAGGAGTCCATTAACCGGGTAATCATTATTAGTTCATTACATCATAATATACAGTAACTACGGGTAATTAATTACTCACGTAGCAGTAGTGTGCCAGGAGAAATTCATTATTCAATTTTGCTCTTTTTTGAGAAAAGTGCCGTCAGATAGGTAGTAGACACTCGTATTTTTTATTATTTGAACTTGATGCATCCATATTGTAGTTTAATTTATAACCATGTGGACTGTGTTGTGGTGTAGAAGATTCTATGAATGTGTAAGAGTTCTCAGTGACATATCGTCTTTAACTAACCTTGATGTTAGTGCATATTCTGGAAGGCAGGTGTTCATTACCATTATTTTAGACATCATTTCAAAGCTTACATCAACCATCATTTTCAATTTAATTTGTTTTATTCATATTTCTTGCTTTATGTGGTATTTATTTCTTCTGTCACACCTATCACTATATTAGCCTTTAGATAAATAATTGCCAATTCAATGTTTGTTTCACAATATTATGAAACCTTAATTATAAGCATACAATGTGGTATTTTTCTAGTTGTAATAAAATACAACATATGACACTGACAGGTGTTATTCAATATTATGGATAGTTTGTAACAGGCTATTCATTGCTTGCACTTAATAATCATTTCTATCACAAGCTCTATTTTCAATCTTTGAGGCTATCATAGACATAACATAACATCACGCCTTTTATCCCGAACGGTTAGGCAGAGATGCACATTATGCCACTGTAAAATGTAACACCCACTTTTCACTATTTATGTTACGAGTCCTATGTAATAGGGGGTGAGCCTATTGCCATATACTGGTCACAATTCCAGACTCTGTGCTACTATTGAGAATTTTTTTAAAACCTAGTAATACTTTGCCCGACCCGGGAATCGAACCTGGGACCCCTTGCCCGGCAGTCGCACTTGCGACCACTTGGTCAACGAGGCAGCTATCATAGACTCCTGGCTTAATAAATAAGTGTCATTTGTTTTGAAGTAATTGCTTGTACTGATCGCAATCACCTGCAGTAGTAACAATTATGGGATCTATAGAACTTGATAGTGTTAGACTGATATTTTTATCATTTTTATCTAACCTGTTTCATTTACACAATTACTAATGTCTTTGTCACTAGAATAAATTTGTTAATACAGGTGTTTCTAATAATTATTTTGTAATGTAAACTAATTATTCTAGTTCATAAGAACTTCCATAACAATGCCATAATGACATTTTTGTGTTCAAGTTTAAGATAAAATCATTTGCTTTTATATTACAAATATCCTATATTGCATAAGCAATGTGGCGTATTCACCGCATTATCATTTAATCCAAATGCTTTGCCGGGGATACTGTTGGAATAAAAACAAAAACACAATAAGTAAATGTAACATTTTAACATTTGCTTAGTAATTTGATCTATATTGTGTTTTTCTTTTTAAATGTGAGGTGATAGCACTGTGTTTGCACTTGTTTTGTTTTTGCATAATGTGGGTAATAATTTTACTTGTCCTTTGTAACTTCTATTTGCAAAAGGAATGCTAACATACACATTGTTAACAAAACTATTTGCTTCATTTTACATTTGTGTTGACGTCAATATATGTGTAGGTCATCATGCTTTATAATTATGTATCTTATTTATCCATCATAATAATCACTTATGTATATCCATCACCATTTTGTTCATCAGTACATAGTATAAAACAAATTCGCATCTTTAAAACTTGTCAACGGATTTTGATTTGTTTTTTTTAATAGATAGGTTGATTTTCAAGGAAGGTTTATATGCATAATATAGTAAAGAAACACTGATAAATTTAGAGGTTTCTAATGTAATGTCGTAAATAAGCACGTTATTTTGGGCTTATATTGCAAATGCTGGCTGAACCCTACGAGATAGATCAAAATAATGTACTACATTGTTTACCTTAATTGTCTAATGATAAAAAAGCTGGTTGTGTATAAGGTACTCATTTACATAAGAATTGCACAGGTCGCTAGTAAGGGCTAAAATGCTCTAGTTTTTAGTTCCCATGTGCTTATTGTTTTCCTTAAGCGTACATTTTAAAGAAATTGATACTGGGTTTTCCGTTGTATCTAAGTCAATGTACCTTATCAGGAAATCAAGGAATAAAAGATGACATAGCCTTTCAGGAAAATTTGTAACTTATCGTCACATTAAAATATGTAATTATTATTATTTCATAAAACCTTCAGCTGTCCTTTTTATTTAGAAAATAATAATAATAATTAGAAAGCCAAGTTTACCTTCATACTGATTTATTGCTTATTTTTTATGTACAAGCATAGAACCATTATACATTATTTAGTTTTAAGATACACCAGGAAAGATTTTATATTACTTAATTTTATTTTATACCTGAAGAATAAAAAATAATATAGTGACGTAGTTAATTCAAGACCGATAGATTCATTATATTTAGGTTAGGGTCTTGTTTGAAAGAAAACACTTGACTGGTGTCATTAAATATTTTATTTGAGTTATTATAGTAAATAACAAACAATTTAAATAATAAAGAGTTTAATTTTATTACACTGAATGGTATGGAAGCTAATAGGCATTTAACGACTAGAGTTTAAAAAGTATATAAAAAGAAACATTGAAAGAAGAAAAATCCTCTTGCTGATAAAACGGCAGTCGCACGTTGTACCATTCAAAACGTACGTCACCTTATTTTCTGACTTACCAAATTTTCTCAACAAAAATCTATGTAAACTAGGTATTTAATAACAACATCAACAAATATTTAAATCGTTTCCGTTTTATTTTACACACGTAATGTGTCATCGTAAATAATTACGCGTATTTACACAGATGTCTTTTTAATAATCCGATTATCTAATCGATAGAAAGTAATATTTAACGGTTTTAAATTAATCAAATCGATTATTGTGACTCAACATGATAGTACTCATCGTAAATTAATTTTGTTGTGTAGGTATAAAGCACTTGTAATTATCCTTATGTATAAAAATAGTAGATACCTACTCGCGATAAAGACTATACGGTTGGCGCAGTGGCTGGCTGACACACTGATGTATAAGTTGTCCCAAATTCGATAACCATACGGGACAAATTTATGTGTGACCTACAATCTTAGTAACTAGTTAGTAGAAAAATTTTAATATCATTGGTAGAGATCCAGCTTTTCGAAACTTATTGTCCCCTAGCGATTTGATTAGCGATATTACTTTGGATCCTTCGCTCTAGCTCTCACTAAACTAATACATATGATTACGAATAAATGTAAGAATTAACAAATCAAATAAACAGAAACAATTTTATTCTTAAATGTTGTAGCTGCAATTTGTTATGATACAAAAATATATTTGTTAAAGCACGTTTATTTCTTATCAATTTGTACAGAATTTACTAGAATACCTATTAGTTTCAATCTGAACGAATTTTACGCAAATTAAAGATGTATGTACCTTGTAGAAGTTGCTAGACTTACAAGTCTTTTAAAATAAGCAAATAGAGATTTTACTGTGTAACTAGGTACTAGCAAATTGAACTTAGATATATAGAGGGCTTCTATAATTTAGATATGAATATGAAATAGAATAGTTGTACCAATAAATATGAAAAGCAAACAAAGTGCCACCACCTACACCCAACAGCTATCCCCGGTAAGGTATTCAGACCTTTTCTTTTCATTGCAGACGAATACGAAGTCATTGGCGAGACGCAGTGGCAAATAATCGAGAGCAGCGGCGATGAACAAACCATCAACATTCATGGCTTCAAATATTCTAAATTACGCGCTACTTTATTACACACCGTGTGCATATTACTATGTGGCTTACCATATTTTGCATTGGCTTATTACCCGTCCTACAATCGATTCAAATACGTAAAATGCAGTCTGAAAACGGCTAAGGAAATTTGTGGTGAGTTCTGATCAAGTATTTTTATTTTGGGTCTATCTAAAGCCCAATTGTCAATAATACTCTTTCATACAGCTTTAGCTATGTATGATTATTAATCAGTACATTAATAATTGTATTTCTTTGTAGTTATCGACTCAGATGGAGGATGGACTACAGAGAAAGTGCTTGAAGTCGACCTGAACTTATCAAACCATAGAGATAACAGATTGCGTTACTTTATGTTCAAACACAACCGATTCATTTGGCTTAACGACCAAGGAGTTTTTATTAATGTTCTTGCACTCAATGAGAAGCTTACTATCCAACTGCTGATGGAAAATATGTCTGGCATAAATAAACGGCAGCAAAATGAATTGTAAGTTAAAACATCATGTTTGACTGAAGAACTTGTATAATTTTGAGTCAAAAAGTACCGTAATTAAAAATCCAATGTGTTTATTTCTTACAGGATCAAACTATATGGTACAAATTCAGTAGAAGTGGAAGTAAAGAGTTACTGGACCCTGTTCGTTGAAGAAGTTTTCAATCCTTTCTATTTGTTCCAAGTTTTCTCTATCATTCTTTGGTCTTTGGATGAGTATTATCAGTATGCGACCTGCGTTTTCCTGCTATCCGTTGCTACCTGCATGCTGGCGTTATATCAAACTAAACAGGTAAATCTAGAAAAGTACTAATATGGAACTTCCATCTGTAATCTGTAATTTAATCAATACGTGATTGTAATGTCTATTAGGGCTTAAATATATTACCTATGATTTGAAGTTTTCCTGAGAGAAATGCAAAATAATGTTCTGTTTTATTCAGATGAGCATCAATCTCCACAAAATGGCTGGTTCAACTAGTGCATTTACTGTCACTGTGCTACGACCGACTCGTATGGGCCGGGAGGAGTGCGTAGTGAACGCTAGTCGACTGGTACCCGGCGATGTATTAGTTTTACCACCTGATGGCTGTGTGATGCCTTGCGACGCTATGCTTCTGACCGGAACCTGCATTGTCGATGAGAGTATGCTAACAGGTAAGCTGAGAAAAACCTCAAATTAAACGACTGATAGTTTCGTTGATTATAAAAACATCCTTTATACAGAAATTAAAACATTATTGTTACTAAACTATTGTTAGTCAAATTCTCACTGAAATCTAATCTCACTATTATTATAGAAGAATAAACTTCGAACTTACTGGGCTCCATTGTACAACAGTTAAATTAATACGACAGACATGACCTACACGTTTCAATTTAAACCGCTTGCACCAATATTGGTACACGCATTCCTTGTCCATGTTTATAAAATTGGCATTTATTAAGAAATGTTATTCCCAATCAAATTGTACGTCTATCAATCAATAGATGTAGTTTCATTTGTACGTGTTTCAGTTGTGTAATAATACAACATAATAGTATGTATGTAGTACTAAACTACTATTAATATTATCGTATATGTAATTAGTTATCACATTACTTATAACATAAGCAGTTTACGCTAACGATCTATGCAGTACCTAATCTAATTGCGAATGACGTCATTTATCTTTATTGTTATGGCAATATGAGCCAAAATAATAGTCATTTTCTTACAATTTCCATATGTCTCTGATTTGGTACACTTGATATTTCAAAGGGTTATTTTAAACTGACGTTTAATATCCAATCGCGACTGTCGCCGTGAAAGTAGGTCAGGATGGTTTGCTGTCATTAAAAAATTACTCGAGTGGAATGCCGAGTCAGACGTTATCGTCAAGATTTAATATTCATCAACTACTTTTGAATATTAAATCGTCTTCAAGGGTACCATTTGTATGATATCTTTATTTTGGAAACAGTGCCTATACAGAGAGTAAATTGAACGCTCCTGAAACTCTGACAAAAAATTGTTTTTACAATTTTAATCTTCTTGTTTTCGTGTTATCCTCTCGCGCGTCTCGTACACGGGTTTAATAGAAAGCGAATGAACTATACTGTTGAATCAAATAAAGAACGAGTTGCAACTTGAAAATATACATCACAGAAAAAGTTTCCAATCGGTGCAAGTCACTCTCATACACCCGTGTGTAAAATTGCGGCGATGGTCACTCAACTCTCTCGTACACCCGTGTGTACAAGAAACGCTCGAGAGGTTATTCGTGCAATATCAGCCTTGAGCAGTCGATTACAAGTATTATTACATAAAAGAAACATTTTCATTAGGTCCTTAGTTTTATGAAAATAACTAGCTTTTGCCCGCGGCTTCGCTCGCATCACAAAAGGATAAAAAGTAGCCTATGTGACATATACCATTATACACAGCGCCATCTCTACCAATACTTTTGTTTTCCTTTGAAAATATCAATTTTCCGGGATAAAAAGTACCCTATTATTTAATCTGGACTTTTAACTTTACGTCTGCAAAATTTCAAAGCAATCGGTTTAGAAGTTACGGCGTGAAAGCGAAACAAACAAACAAACTCACTTTCCCATTTATAATAGTATAGTAAGTCTTTCGAGAGGATTCTGTTTACACCATGTAAAGTCCTATAAAAAACGACTGAATGTCGACTGACTATCACACTGAAAATTACTTTTGACCATGGTATGACCATTATTCTCCTGTGTAATTATTATTTATAACATGTGTGTTACATTTTAGTTTATCATTAATGTTTTATATTTGATTTTAGGCGAAAGTGTGCCAGTAATGAAAGGTCCTCCTTGCTCGTCATCAGAAATATATTCTACTGAAGGGCACAAACGTCACACATTATTTGCTGGCACGCATGTTATGCAAACTCGATTCTATGGCAACAATCAGGTACGAACTTAAAATAATAATAATAATTAAAGTATACATTTCTGTGTCATATAATTTAATTTTAAAATTATATTTTGTATGTGTCTTTTTTCTAGGTTCTGGCCAAAGTCGTACGCACCGGTTTTTACACAGCTAAAGGAGAGTTACTTAAAAGCATTTTGTTCCCAAAACCCTTTGGATTCCAGTTCTACAAAGATGCCGTCAAGTTTGTCATATTCATGTTCTGCATTGCCGCGATTGGAATGGGATACTCTATCTGGCTGTATGTTGTTAGAGGAGTAAGTAGGAATAAATATGTTTTGTATACCTGTTATTTGTTGCGTTCCGTTTGCGCTAAGCGCTGTATACGTCACTATTGTTTGCGCATGTTAGAACCTACACTAACAAGTTGTATGTGCAAAGTTTGCTCAAACGACATTTGCCGTAACTACATTTACTTTTATTTTTATAAGGAAAAATACTATTTGTATAAGCCAGTTGACATTCATAGTTAAGAAACTATATTTGGTTCTGTCCTCTAAATGAGGTACCCATGTTATTCATCATAACTTAACGTTGCGAGGTAAGCGCAATGGCATACTGTTTATGTCAGTAAGAGTTTCGACATGTCCACTCATCCTTGGTGGGAGGAACAAATCAAATAGTTTTCCCCCCCAAAAGAAAATAGCACATCACTAAGCTAGATCTTCAGGTCCAATTAATTACTAATAATAATTTCTTTCTTGCAGAGTTTGATAGGCACAATAGTTCTCCGCACTCTGGACATCATCACGATCGTAGTACCGCCCGCGTTACCGGCCGCCATGACAGCTGGCATAGTATACAGTCAAAATCGGCTCCGTAAAAACAGAATCTTCTGCGTATCACCTCCCAGGATTGTAATATGTGGCAAATTACAAGTTATGTGTTTTGATAAGGTATGTATTGCATTTGTGATTACGCTTGATCAAAGATTTTATTACAAAGTTAATTGTGCTTAAAACTTGTCTACATAATTATGCGATATAGATAGTGCAAATCCGCGAATCTACCATACGTAAAAGCCGCGTATCTGCAATGGATCCAGTTTTACAGGAGAAGGAAATTCATTGAATTAACAGAGTTATCAATTTTTAACTGAAAAACTCTATTCAATTAATGAAATTCAAGCTCATTTTTACGTATTAAAAATGGCAGCCAATTAAGATTTTGCTTGATTTTCTTCAATTAGCTACATTTGTCAAGTACGCGGGGTTAATCAATGCTAGTTCCGCGGATTTGCGCTATCCCGGACGATATGACCTACATATAATACGAAATTAAGATTCTTTTAAAGAAAGTAAATGACCACATAATATATATTGCAATGAAAAATTGCGACAAACTAGAGTTACCTACTATATAAATTAACCGACATCTATTTTATTTTAGACTGGCACCCTAACCGAAGACGGATTGGACTTCCATTCTGTAATACCATTACGGGCTGGGGAGAAGTTTGGAGAATGTGTGGTGGAAGTGAGCAGTCTGGCTGTGACCAGCCCGCTCATACAAGCTCTGGCGTCCTGTCACTCTCTCACCAGTATACAGGGACAGTTGAAAGGCGATCCTCTTGACTTGAAGATGTTTGAATTCACACAGTGGGTGAGTGAAATTTACTGTACCTTAACTTTGCATGTTATAAAACAAATTGTACCACGGCTGTTTGTCTATGATGAATGGAAATTAAACATGGTTTTATACAATTTTCATCAGCGACAAAACTGAATCGTAAGGAAGTGTTGAGTGTATAATTATAAAGATTTAAGATCCCTTATGTGCACCTTTGCATCTCTTCGTGATTTAAGTAGAAAGTGACTTATGATGTTATGTTCTGGCATGAGTCGTAAGTCTGCAAACTGAATACTAGTTTTTGTTTTAAACGTCAGTAGTGGTTTTCGTCAATTGCGATTGTAATGTACCCATTACAACTAGCAAATCAACAAGGCAATATAAATTTACAATTTTTAAACACGGAACAGAACAAATTATGGTCCAGTTCAGGAAAATCGGTCATACTATTAAGTTTTATTTTAAATCCGATACAGCCAAAATAACAAAGATGATGTCATGTTTTCCCATAACAAATTACTAATGACTGTACTCGGAAATAAAGCAGCTGACTATTCCTCGTTGATATGACGTCTGCTTATCTGATTTGAGTTGAAAATCTGATATCATTGAAACAGATAGCAAAGTCAGGTGTCCATCATACTGATAACAACTATTAGGTAATTGATGTAGGCTAAGGGCTTTTGAATAACAGCATTAAGCTTTTATAGGTTTATTTATTAATTTTAAGCAGAAGAGAGCGTCTATGGTTCAATGACTGCTTCAATAGATTAAAACTTTCTTATCTATACTAATATTATAAAGCTGAAGAGTTTGTTTTTTTGTTAGAACGCGCTAATCTCCGAAACTACTGGTCCGATATGAAAAATTCTTTCTGTGTTGGATAGCCCATTTATCGAAAAAGGCTATAGGCTATAAAATATCACGCTACGATTAATAGGCGGCGAGCAGAGCGAGTGAAACCGCGCGGACGTAGCTAGTCTAATGGATATTTTTAAGTTACGAAGAGGCGAACTTATGATGCACTGGCTTCCGAAAGCAGTTTCGCCCGCGCCCACGTGGGATATAAAGTGGTCTATATGTTACTCCAGAGCACAATTTCTCCCTGTTCCAAATATTATCTCGATCCCTTCAGTCGTTTTGTCGTGAAAGAGTAACAAATACACACACTCACACACATACATCCTCACAAACTTTCGCATTTACAATATTAGTAGGATAGTGAGATGACTTGCAAAGCCACACAAAAAACGGTTTTATGTTGTTAAATATGTGGTCTATTTTCATTCGCAGGTACTCGAAGAACCAGGACCTGAAAACACACGATATGACAATTTGACACCTGTCATCGTGAAACCCGCTACTTCTGCTAATGGATCTATGCAGAATCTGGACGACTTCGATCCTTTCACTATGGAGATTCCATATGAGGTTTGTTTAGCAAATGGAATAAGTTATTTTAGAATTTTTTATTTTCCTTACTGGGTTCTGGATGACTGATGGTAAACATAAGAAAAAACAACAAAATATACCTACATTCTACTGAGCATTAGACATATTCCTGAATAGTAATTCATTCATTTCCAAGCTCCATTACTGCTTTTAACTCAGTCAAGTAAAATACACTTTATTTAAAAGAAAATCTTTCTAATGCTTTGTTTTGTTGATAGATCGGTTTATTGCGGCGGTTCCATTTCTCATCGGCACAACAATCAATGGGTGTTATAACCAATGTGCTAGGACAGCCACAAATGGTTTACTTCGTCAAAGGTGCTCCTGAGAAGGTAAACTAACATTACATATTTATGGAGTTAATTTAGACTAAATAAATCTTCCATGAAAATCTTGTCTTGACAACAAAACAAAACTAAAATAATCATTTAATGTCCTTTAGCTATCCTCAAGTTGAGCTCATAGCAACACGTTTTGTAATTATTATTTTTAATTATGTAGATAAGCAAACACCTGTGTCTGCTCTCATGTAAACAGTATATTACTATTACATACCTAAACATAGATATTAATACTTAAAGTATTACGTGAATTAAAATTATCTTTTTTACTCAGGTGGCTGGTATGTGCAATCCGGAAACACTCCCAGAGAATTTCAGTTCGGTTCTCAATGAGTATACATCCAACGGTTTTCGTGTAATCGGCCTTGCGCACAAAAAACTCGATCGTAAAATGAAATGGGTCGATGCACAACGGGTCAAGAGGTCCAACCTTGAGTGTGATATGGCGTTCTTAGGCTTTCTAGTCATGCAAAATAGCCTGAAGCCAGAGACAACTCAAGTGATTAGAGAACTCCATGAAGCTTCTATGAGACTGATTATGGTAACTGGTGAGTACAAAATTAAAGAGAAATCATTTATTTGATACTTGCACCAGGTACAATAAACATTAAACACATTCACTTTCGTCACAATAACAAAAAAATCACGCCATGTTAAATATTAGTAAAATTTCAATGAATGCTGTTCGTAATTTCGCTAATACCCACTACATGAGTACATATTATATTATCTGAATTAAATAATTGCTTCACTTAGTTAACAATATTAATTAATGACTTAGTAACACGTTACAATAGGTAATTAATTAACCTAAATGTAAATATTTGTTCTGTTTTCCTCTTAATATGACAAAATTATGAGTAATTTTCCTATTGTTTATTTATAGGGGATAACATAATGACTGCAATGTCTGTGGCTCGGGGCTGTCTCATGGTGCAGCCACATCAGAAACTGGTCCTTATTACCACTGGACAACCGCAAACCAATGACTCACGCCCGCCTCTTTGTATGGAGGTAAGTTACTATGGTAGTTTCCTTACTAATTATCAAATTAATGACGTCACTCTTAGTGACGTTATCGGGCATCGTTGCACTATTTTTGTAGCTGATAAAATATTATGCCCTTTTTACCTGAAGGCTGGTACATGTAATGTTATAAATCCCTTGTAATAAAATGAACGTATTATACGAGGCACAACTTCATTTGCCGTGTTATCTCTATTTTTTTTTTTTATTAGAGGAATTAAGTATTATTTTCCTAATAATGAAGTTGAACTCGAAAACTGGAAACCCCTTTCTTGTCGCACTTGGGTTTACTAGACCAGTAAGATAGTCTAGTTTTTTGTATATTTTTTTACTATGTATCAAATATGGTTATTTTACAGGTGGTAGGCGAAGGCGCACCGCCTAAGTTGGCATTAGATGCCTATGTGTTAGCTCTCGAGGGTAAAACTTGGGCTGTGATACGTACTCATTATCCCGAGCTAATGCCGGCGGTGCTCACTAGAGGTAAGTTATATTTCTTTCAAGATAAATGTGAAACTTTACTGTAATTAGAATAACTTCAATTGTTTAAATATACTTCTCTAAAAAGTTTTTAATTAATGATACGACGACGATATTAACTTGAAATATGTCAAAAGTGTACAAATTTTCACATAGATTGATTATAGTAAATCAGTTTTTATGAATAATTATGAAATATTATATTGATATTAAGTTACTGTGTTGAAATTTTTATTTGAGACATGATTTCTCAAGAAAGTGCACCACTACATAGTATAAAACAAAGTCACTATTCGCTGTCTGTCTGTCCCTATGTATGCTTAGATCTTTAAAACTACACAAATGATTTTGATGCGATTTTTTTTAGTAGATAGAGTGATTTTTAACGAAGATTTATATGTATAATACATGTATGTTGCACCCGTGCGCAGCCGAGTGGGACGCTAATATATAATATAGTATAATCACAATGACCTTCGTATTTGCTTCAGGCATGGTATTCGGTCGTTTCGGTCCGGACCAGAAGACGCAGCTTATAACCGCGCTGCAGGGCGAGGACGTCGTGGTCGGCATGTGCGGGGACGGCGCCAACGACTGCGGCGCGCTCAAGGCGGCGCATGTTGGCATCTCGCTCTCCGAGGCCGACGCATCGGGTATGTGAATTAAAGTTGCCATTTGATAGGTTTTGGTATGATTGCTTTACGACTAGAATATTACCGTATTGTCATTAGTGTCAAAAAGATAATACTTACTCACATAATTATTTATGTTTACCTACTCAAGTAACTACTTGACAAGCTAACTCGACTAGTTTCAAACTACGCTAGAGGCTCATACTTTTAAGCAGCATTGCCCAAAAAGGCGCTGTGTAACGTCCATTGGCTACGGTTCGCTGTCATGTGTGAAGAAATTTCATAATTCTTTATTTTTATTTTCAGTGGCTGCCCCATTTACGTCTCAGGAGCAGAATATAAAATGCGTGAAACTCCTCGCTTTGGAAGGGCGTTGTGCCTTGAGCACATCGTTCGCTATCTTCAAATACATGGCTCTTTATTCACTGATTCAGTTCTTCTCTATACTGATTTTGTATAATGTAAGTATAAATATAAAAAAACTGATTTTATAATTATATCATACAGTCAAATTCTGTACAGCACATACCTTGTGTTGATTAATATTTACATAATTACTACAAGAGAAAATTGCATGTTTTTGATATGACTGTGGTTACGTAACTCGAAAATACAGAGAAGCTATTTATTTTTACTGAATCACTTACGCGCATTATTTTTAAGCCAAAATTTTCTCATCACTCTGTATTTGTTACAGTTCTACTCAATCCTTGGCAACAATCAGTTCCTGTACATCGACCTGGTACTGACGACACTCCTGGCGCTGTCCCTGGGCCGCGCGTCCCCCGGCCCAGTACTGACGCGCCAGTCCCCGCCCGTGTCACTCGTCGCTCTCTCTAGTATCTTGCCACTCATCATTCAAGTCTCATTGGTGCTGGTGATGCAGGTTGCGTCCATTTATTTGCTGTATGCTCAACCCTGGTAAGTCTTACTTGCTATGACGATATGTATCATGTTTATGTATATTGGATAGTAATTTTCACCTATCATTCTCTAAATACAGTCAATATTCTTCTTATTTATTTATATACACTTTATTGTACACCACACGATTAAATCATAAGATAACATCAACAAACATAATGTACAATGGGCGGTCTTATTTATTTATTTATTTATTTATTTATTTATTTATAAATAAACGAAGGCCTCTCGTTCGTCGTGTTATATCGCCGAGTCTCTCTATCTGTGATATAGAGAAAAGGCAGCATAACGGTTCGATTCCGGCACGAAGCAACTCTTTGTGTGATCCATAAATTGTTGTTTTGGGTCTGGGTGTTAAGTGCATGTGAACTTGTATGTTTGTAAACGTACCCACGACACAGAAGAAAATACTAGTGTGGGGCAACGTTTTAAAAAAGAAAGATTTTCATGACAATTCAAGTACAGCAAACAACGCTGCAGGCAAAAAGCTAGTTGTTAACTAGAACCGCTAGAACGAGAATATACCGAGATAAAGAATATATCGAGAGAAAGATTTCAATAACCAACATTTTCTTTATGAAGATGGAAGCAGTTGTAAAACTTTATTTCATTTCAGGTTCAAACCAGTCGAAGGGGGTCCCGACGTAGAACAAGTATTGTGCTGGGAGAACACAGTTTTGTTCATAGTTACTGCATTCCAGTACTTAATTATGGCCTGCGTCTATGCCAAGGGCTGGCCTTTCCGACAACCTTTCTGCACAAATTGTAAGTACAAATTAATGATCAATCATTCATTATTATTACTTTATCGGCTATTTAAGAGCTATAAAGATATTATATTAAAAAAACTGAATATAATGTTAAGATATTTTGTTCTGCAATATTTTTCTTGCACCTTACAAAGTATGCTTGCTTACAAAGTAGTAGTCACTATTTTCATTCTATTAGAAAGTAATGATTATTTTCGGGATCCTGGTACATTTTAAAACTGCGACCGATTATCGAAAAGCGAGCAGTATGCAACATTTTCTGTAACCTAACTACAATTCCCTAACTACTTGCGATAAGTGTGGAAACCCCTCCGAGCAGGGGTCCTATACTTATTACACTCTTTAGGGTTTAGCAATTAAGGTTGTTGTTTAGCAATACATGATAGCTGGTTATGATAAAGTGATTATGCAATATTTTCTTTTAGTTCAAATAGTAATACAATATCATGTTTCTATTTCAGATTATATGATGATAACGTTAGTTACACAATCAGTGTTCGTGACGGTACTACTGCTGTGCCCGTGGCAGTGGTTGGCAGACTTCATGGAAGTTGAAGCCATGTCGTCGGCTGACTCTGAACAAACTATGTTCCGTATCTATCTATTGCTGATACCTGCCCTTCATATTATACTAGCTATAGCTATTGAGGTGAGTTGTGCTCAATATTGTAAAAGGCTATGAAAATATTTAATATTAATAATAATAACTACATGCACGGTTTTAATTCCTGTATGCAATAAGATTGAGCTCTAGCTACGAGTGTAATCAGCCAGTGGCGTACTCACCTTTTGCATTTGAATTAATCAAATATAGTCTGCTAGTACTTATAGATTTGAGTGGTGTTGTTAATTTAGTCATTTCTTGTAACGTATTCACGATGTTATAACATGATTAGTATGTATTAATTTATATTTCCAGGCGAGCTTATCGGACTGCGAGAAGTTGGCTCGCCTAGTGCGCGCGTTCCGTCGACGGTGCGACAAGACGGCGGAGGGCGACGCGGCGCGCCCGCTCTGTGTGCCGCCGCACCTGCAGCTGTGCTGACCGCGCCGGGACGAGGACTGCTGGGCCCGCCGGGACGAGACCTGCTGGGCCCGCCGGGACGAGTACTGCTGGGCCCGCCGGGACAAGTACTGCTGGGCCCGCTGGGCCAGCTGGACATGCTGGGCTAGCTGACACTCCATGCTTCCACTCATACCGAACATTGTCAACTTGATAAGCTAATGGTGCCACCATCCAGTGTTCCGAAAAATTCTCATAAGTTAGTTCTTACTAATGGTACTTACTAATTTCCCGCTCGCAACCGCATCACTGATGAAAACCGTGAAAAATCGACTCAGTAGTTTCCGAGTTTGTCGCAAATTAACGTATGCGGCGGGAACTTTGTTTTATAATGTGTAAGGCTACCAATTCAATGCCATCCAATCGGTGATGTTGCCATCAGTTTTTATCAGTTAAGTTGCACTAACTTGACAAGTTAGAACATGTTTATTTTTAAGAGAATGTAATGTCAAGTTCTTGCATTTCGTTATGAGTTGAAGCGTTTGTTGAGTTCGGAATGTACGCCTCTGGGTGATTCTTCGGAACATTTTTAACAAAAGATATAGTTATCCTCAACCCGAAGTGCTGTTGTTTATTTTCAAATAGTCAACACACAAGAGTTTAAGGGGATGATTTGTTAAAAAAGTTAAAGATTTCTGAAGGATCACTTCTCCGGGACTATCCCGCCTCATAGTTACCTTTTTACTCTGTAGTGATAGTAGAAGACACTGCAACGATCAGTGTAGTTTCCGAATTGTTTGTACTATAATATTTATTTATCAGTCGGCAAATACCCTTACTGGAAGTTAAGTTGGCTGTTACTTAATTTAAGTCCCAATCTAGTAAAATTACTCTACTGCTGTTCAGTGGAACAAGCGCTATTTCATTGGCCGCTGTGCCGTTAGGTATGAACTAAGACAAGCACTTAAAAATGTATATAGAAAAATACATTTTTCTTAAGAAGACCTGTGCTAGTGTTAGTAGAATCCTAACACTTCGTCAGATAGTCTTATTAGCTAAGTGTGATCCCGTTTAGTACATTGTCACTGCGCATAGGTCCAGGCGCCGTCAGATCCAAAATAAAGAGCTGGTGATTGCACCAGCAGCCAATTTTAAAAATGGTAGAATATACCAACGTCTGTTCTACCATTTTTTAAATAGGTTTTTAAGTTATTGGCAACTCTGTCCCTTAGAAACAAGACTATCATGACTTCTGCTGTGATAAAGGAATTCTCGTATACTTCCAGCGCTGAATATCATTCATGTGTCTATGTAACTTTTCTGTACTATTTTGTTTTAAAAGTAGTTAAAACCCTGATTACAGTACTTCGTACGTATGGCTATTATTAAAATATCGAAAACTATTTAATTAAATTAATCAAGTAGATTAATATTTTAATATTTAATTTAACACATTTTACTTATTTTGTATAGGTTGTGCCAACATTTTTATTTTATACTTATTTTTTAAACTAAATTCATCATTTTCATTAATTGAGTCTGTCAAGTTATTTTTATTGGTTAGTATAAATATGGTCGCAATTAGAAGTATCAGGATATGGTCATCATCCTTTCTACAATACACGTAAACTATTGAATAAAGTACTCAGTTTTAAAAAATAGTGAAACTCTTAAAAGTCTTGTCTGGTGAAGATAGTTGTGATTATCTTTACAATCTAGTAACTTCACGGTCCGCCTAAGTGTAATGCCCCATCGTCCATAAACGAGAGCAACGTACCATTAATCAAAACCTCTGGAAAGAGGAATGATTCCAAATTTAAATTGACCAATGTGGGGTTAATTTTAATCGATATTTTTATGCTAACTTATTGTTGTAATGGTTAAAAATATGTATGATATTAAGAAGTAGTGCCAAATAACGCTTGACAGACTCTATCCGAAATACGTCGTTATCTATTAAATATAAACCTGCAACAGTACAAAACTTGTTAGCCGGTAAATAAAAATATGAAGTTTGAAAACTGACAGCAGTTTACATTTCACATACTTCCATCATCATGTCAAAGTGTCATACCATACACATTCACTAATGTCTTTTTTTTATTTAATTTTTTTCATAAGCACCTCTTTGGTCCATTTTCGCGGCGGTTCAATAAAACATTTAAAGAATCGTTGTATCTTGGAATTCTACGGTTCTAAATATTTTACTGAATTATCGTCTAATTAGACACTATTTCTTTAGTGAAAGTAGTCACAAAATTGTTTGATTTTTATATACCTAAAAAACATTTTTAAATCAAATGACTTTGTCTTACTTACTTTATTTTATAGTAATATTTTACAGAAGTGATTTTTATAGTAAAATATTGGTCCTTTTGAATGAAATCATAGAATTAGTAGTATAAGTTGAATCCTACTTATTTTATTATTGTAAATATAGTTATAATTATGAATTGAAATTACGTATGTTTTGAGTATGTGCGATTGATTTAAGATAAATGATTTGTGATTTTGCATTTCGCCCGTACTTCACAAAATTTTAAGATATTGCTCAGTTGTATCTAAGCTGCGCTGATTTCAGTGTTACAGGCATGGTTATTGGTCAGGTACGGTCAAAGGTCAAAAGTCCACCGTAAGACTACTATCGGTTGCGCTGCAGCGCTTGTACACACATGCACACGCATATTTGTATCCGTGTGCGTACGCGTGCGTGTGTTTATGCGTACGCACGCGTTTTTATGCACATTAATATGAAATTACTTACGCATTGCTGCGTGAACATCACTTACGGTGGCCGTGGACTTTTGACCTTTTACTGTACATAATAAAACAATAGTGAGTTTTCTGCTGCATTGTATTATTATCGTAAAATACATTAAAACGTGCAAAAACAGTGATTAAAGCTATTACTTATTTTACGTCTCAATTTATTTATTGTGCTACTTAAATCATTATACAAATTACTTAAAAATGTAATATTAAGTTCTCATTAGTTACATCATAAATGCATTATCAATAAAATATTATAAAATACTAACACTTGTGCGTCATCCCCTGTGGGATACAGATTTTTATATCTAATTTTTATTTAGTAATTTATTTTATTCAATAGTTGCATTTTGATTTGCATGTACGCATTTTTTATTCTTATTTTTATTATCATGGTTCATACGCCATTCCTACTTGATACTGTCATTTCTTAAATAGATTTTCGATTCTATTGCGTCGCAATAAAGTCGGAAATCTTAAATAGTTTTGTCAGTTTGTGGTAACTCAATGAGGGATGAACTTCACGGATCATAAAATATTAGATACGTATTTGAATTAACGTACCATATTTCCAATTGTTACGTTGAACAATAGTATTTTCAATAAACGTAAGATAATCCAGTGCGCGAGCAGCTGTCTCTTAGATGTATTGTAAAAACCAAAGGAATATTAAGTGTTATTCGAAAAGCCATCTTATTTGTACGTATGTAGGTCTATAATTAAGTTGTAACATCTAAGTGATACAAGTTACTCGCTGTGCGCTGGACTAGAAGTATTACATCAATATTAAATACTAGGTCGTAGAAATAGAACGTTTTTTAATCGGGTTTAAGCGGTATTATAATGCCAAAGCTGTCAAGAATACTTAAAAGATTATTTGAACTGGCACTGTAGTTAAATCAACCTATTGGATGAATAATATTCGCAAGTTAATGTGTTTATTATAAAAGTACTTATATCTATCTGTAAGTATAATTATGTATCTATAAACGATTTGTTATTACGAAGTGTTGCGATAAAAATACAATCAGCAATATCAATATCAGGTATTTGAAAACGAAGTAAGAGTATTATGACTCATTCATGCGGTGGGTACCGCAAATGAGTGAAGTGCGTGAGTAATAGATTGCTAAGTCAATTTATTAATGCAATAATAGTAATATTTATGTGTTTCATTAGTCAGAAATTTCATTCCTAATTGTTTAGTACTTAGACGTTTGGTGCTGCGTATGATTTAGTACCTTTGGTTCGTAGATAACAAATTGTAAAATACTTAATATTATATAGAAATACGTTCACAAAACACGAAATATTTCGGAACTTATATTTTTTTGTAAACTTGTTATTTATTGAACTGCATTATTGTGGTTGTTTTTTAGCTTTACTGCATGTATGTTTATATTTCTCGTATTTTGGAACTTGTTGACTGTTTTTGTGTCCAATTGTCACAATAATGTAGTTCGATACAGATTTTACTAATTGCGACATTAGATGGAATATGGATGTATGACCAAAAATATTGGAATAAATATTAAAGAAGTATATTTTTGTTTCATTCCTTCAAACACGTATAAGAAACGTTGTTATCTTATTTAAGGCAAGTAGGTGGGATATGAAGGAGGCGGTGAGTACTCCGGTGGCTGTACGTTCTTAGCGCGCACTACTAGTGGACGAGCGCTGCGTGGTACCGGGGGCTGCTTCCACCTATAAACAAATACCTTATGAAAAGAACAGAGAGTTAATCGGACTACTCTAAAAGTGTTATGTAGTCAAACACGTCCAATGGAGAATCCTCAGTTTTCGTTAGCTCAAAAAATAATGCTGAATGTCAGATGAATATTAATACCATAGCAGTGATTCATAAACACAACTCGCTAGATCGTTGACTAAAATTTAATTAAAAAATTACCAAGGCACAAGACTCAGATCATGTGGAGGTTTGGGCCGAGCCAGTCTCTCAGCTCGCTCCTCTCGCAGCACGTCCGCATCTCTAGCAGCTGCACACCACGCTCGCAGCGTGAAATAGTACAATAGCTCCACTCCGGACAAGAGGGAGAAACCCAGGAACAATCCTGCTATACCACCGAATGAAACTGAAATGTATGGTGAAATAAAAAGGAAGGCTATAAATATTTTTGGAAGTGTACTAATGATCCTAAAATTTCGATTAGCCGCCTAGTAGGACAGGAGCATCCTTTAATTTTTTGGAAATCTCACTGCAATCTGTCACCCGCTAAGCGGATGACGTATAGCAATGGATTTGGATGGGCCTTGCTGGATAAGTAAATCAAGATGGAGTCACCAAATGTTCATTACCTGAATAGGTTAGGAAGAAATAAAGATTTATACAAGTAGCAAGACGTCCAAAAATTGCCCAATAGAAACAATGACTAATATTCTATTCTGCGGTGTATAGGTATAGCTGGAATTCTAAGTGTTTCAAACTGACTCACCAAGCAAATCGACCCAACCGAAGAGCACCTCACGTTTGTATCGGACCATAGGCCATGACACAAACTCGGTTTCCAATAAAGTGTTCTCGCTGATCCGCGTCGCACTGCAAATAAATAACTTTTACTAACTGAAACAAATATTCAGGAATGACCCAGTTTACCTACATTTTACTTTAGTAATCAGTTTTGATTCTACGATTCAATTAAGACTCCCGCTTCTCATGCATGAGAGAGCGGGTTTGAAACCTACCAACGGCAAGTACCAATGCGACTTTTTCTGAGTTATATGTAGATACTTTCTAAGACACAGACTAGACAACACTAAGAAACGGTGAAGGAAAACATCGTGAGGACACCTGGGCTTATAATTAGTATCTATCTAATTATAAGTTTGTAATCGCCAACCCGCATTGATCAAGCATGATGATTAATGGTCAAACCTTCTCTGTGTGAGAAGAGGCTTTGCTCAGCAATGGGCATTTATAGGCTGTTAATGCTATCATTAACAGTAAAAACGTTTTATCGATGAAAATCATCGATCACACAAACATTTATTTCATGCGCATTTTTACTGGTAAATTACACTAGTACATCAATAAGCTAACTACTTAAACATAAGAAAAATATACTTTCCTGTTTATATTGTTCTTCGTCGTTCCTTTTTCCTACAACACCCACTAACTTACGTAGGTTGCGTCCAAATGACGTAGCCGCTTTGCGTCACATGAACGTTCTCTAAACAATAGCTTAGGTTTTATTACGCAAAACTTACTCGACATCCGAAAGTTTTTCGACTTCATATACAGTGTGCGAGCACCCTAGTTCACAGCTACAACTTGTGACATCTGTTATGGCAGCAGCATGTTTTGCTATGCATCCTAATTCCCGTAATGTGCATTGTTTGTAGCCCTCTGCAATCAATTTAAAAAAAATATATTTATATAGCTTCTATAGCTAAACCACTGACGCATTCATTGATTGGTCGTAGGTGCGGCTGTTGGGCAGGTGGTTTCGGGTCGAGCGAAGTAGATTTTTTGTAATTATCAGTAATCGTAGTTCGGCATCTGGATTTGTGACCGGTGAATGCCTACCTGCCAAAATTTTTGGTTGCTGTGAAACTTACTCAAAGGCGGATAGAAATGGGGAACACATTTGCAGAAAGCCCGACTCCGTTGCATGCGGCACTGTCTCATGCAAGCGGAATAAGTGTAAATGTTGGAAGTCTCCAGATGTTGCTCGTCGGCAAACACGCAGCGGCGTTGACGAATGGACAGCTGACGAGCGTCTTCGGTGGTGTAGGTGTGTTTTACGGAGAAAGATACTTTCTCCACTCGACGGTCCCAAGAGTGCTGAGCGCTTTGCTCCAGACCTGCCATTTCTTCTGTTGAGTGTATGAAAATCTGGAATATTATTTATGTAGATGTTACGATTCTCCTATTTCCTTCATTCTTTATTCCTTCATCCTATTTCCACTTTGTAATAAAACAAAAGGTAAACTCACATCGAACGTTGTATTCTTTCGATCCGAATTAAACATGAAGGACCATTTCGCGTCGGTCTCATGGATGAACGCTTCATTGAACTGTTCAGATTGAGTCTGCGATTGCCTGGAACGTAAAAGGTCAAATAACGGTCACTTAATATTTACATAGCTATTTTATTTCAATTGTTTAAAAAACCTTCATACCATGGCCACACTTTTTCCGCATGTTTGGAGTTAAAGGCGTAACAGAATCCCATTTCAGTGAATACAGGCATTAGCACGTCGCAACATTCCTCGGAATCTCCCTTCCATTCACAGTCGTAGAACAATGACTCACAATGTCGAACTATCTGCAGAAAAAAAACTAATGTCTGGGAAACAAACAAACGTAAACGGGAGATAGACAAAAACCATCTAGATGTTTAGGTGTTATTTTTTAACATATTTTTTTTTTAATTTACTTGGAAAACGGCGTCTTTTGGATTTTTGGCAACTGCAGGGCTATCTTCGTCATCCTTTCCAACAAGGGCTGTGTCTGAGAGAAAATCAGCAGCATGTTCTTCTATAGATCTGTAAGTGAGTGTGGCCAGCCATCGTAGCATCTCACCAGCCTTCTCCGGAGGCTCTGAACCCCAGGTGCTAAACAATTTAATTAATAGCCTGATAAGCAATATTTCTTTAACTTTACTGTTCTTGTAATAAAGTCTAACATCTATTGCATTGGCATAAGGGTAATTGGATTAGCGGGTATTTTTACAAAATCAGCTTAAAGGTGCAAAACATTGCTTCAATAAAAATGTAACAAATTTTTTACCTTTCAATATACGTTTGTAGTAAATCGTCGTCAACTGGATCCACGTCACATATTGTCACTGCAGGGAATGGGACATCCCAGTTATGGAAATCTGTATCCAAACCTAAGTAATAAAGCTGTTATCAGAACTCTTCATATGGTAGATAAAATAATTGTCACTGTGCCAATTGTGTCGACCTTTGGGTTGTATACACTTACTCAGTTACTCACCCGTGATGGTTGGGTTAGTTTGGAACTTCTCCCATAAACTGACTATGATAATACAAGTCGTTACTGCTCCTACTGCTGTAAAGCTGAACCACATAAACCTGGAACAGCATTCATTTTATGTGTTGTGCTTTGGTTACGATAACAATTTATATTCGATTTATAGAGAGCTTACTTCTCACAAAAAGGCCTGTCCTTCTCAGCGATGTATCGTACACCATGCAATGTTGAATTGTTGAAAAACTCCGTAGTCTGGTGTCGTAGGCTAGCAGCCAGCAGCGAAATACCACTAACATCTGAAGCCGGCCGGTTCTTCTTAGAACCATCATTTTTAAAGTTTGATTCTGGATATACTCTCATGTCACGATGTATCACATTTTCACTACGTTTCACTTTGTATGGCTACACACAAGATCGGCAATGAGTTGACTGAATCACGCTACAATGATAACATCGAAACTATCGATCAACCGTCGCGTGATGTTTTGGTGGACCTATTGCCCACTTTTGTAATACCACTAATTACTTTAATGTGTATAGGTACCTATCTATATAGCTGACATTGATTTTGAAAGGACACTTTATTACAGCTTCATTTTATAAATTAATAGGTAACCTGAATGTGGCTTCACTTGTTGTGTAGTACCTACTTGAAAATAAAGTAGGATTGGGGAGTCTCTGGCCCTTAGGTGCTTCTTAAATCTCAAACCAGCCACTACCAAAGACAGGACGCTCTTTTTATAAATCAGATATGAATTTAACTCCGCAACCCAAACGAGTGAACTCTTACAGTTAATGTATTTCGAATAATGAATCATTCTTCTACCCACACTGGTTCTGGCAGATTTTGATTAAGTAACTCCGTAGTAAATGCTGACTTAGCAAAAATGATAAGATATAGATGAAATCACTTTCATCAACAAAACCGTTTGCATAAGTTTTTTGGCAGAATAAAAAGTGTGTCTGCAACCGGCCTAATAAAATATCACTTGTAGCGTAGGTGTATCAATAAGTTACCTATACAAAACATAGGTAGGTACGTAACTTCGAGTAAAGCTTTTAATAATTCATAATAGCAATCTAGCAATTAACTATCATAACAGATAAAGGATAAACACTTGTTTATAATTTACGTAGGTAGGTACCATGTAGGTAACTACGTAACGTAACTGCTTCAGTTCTGTACGGACGACTTTTGAGTTTTTTTGGGATCCATCAAGGAAGTGTGAGAGAGCCATGCTTCGGCACGAATGAGGCGGCTCAACCGGAGTGACACCACGGCCTTACAGAAAACCAACGTGAAACAACGCTGCGTTGTGTGTCGTCGTGTGAGTGAGGTTACCGAAGGCCCAATTACCCCTCCCCTTCCCCAATGTCCCCAATCCCTGAGTCCTCAAATTCTTAATCCCCAAAAGCCCGGTAACGCGCTTGTTACGCCTCTTGAGTTCCAGGTGTCCACGGGCGTCGCCGATTACTTACTATCAGGTGATTCGTCTGCCCGTTTACCGGCTAATCCCACAAAAAAATATAAATTAAACCAAATAATATCATCATAAAAATATATTTAAATTTATTAAAAACTGGAATACATAAGTACTACATAATTACATATGTGGCGATAACAAAGATTTTATAACATAAAATTATACATGTAACTGTTTGACGAGGAACTCGACTAGTTTCAAGGCATGCTAGAGGCTCATATTCATAAGCACCATTCCGCGACCTACGACGCAGCGACTGTCGTCGGAACAGTTACGTGAGTAAGCCGAAAACATAATAATTAATTAGTATGTCTCACGAAAGTTTTAATATAAACATAAAATTACATCATATTAACATAACATTAACAAAAAGTAATTAAATACCTGAAGATACCTATAAGAAATAGCTACGACAATACTCATAATTTAAAGAGCACTCATGGGGTTGATAGTGTGGGTAGGCTCTGGGTCGTGTATTTCACATTCTGGAGTGATTAGCGGTTCAATTTGAATGTCGAGATCCTTCAAAGCGCTGTCCAATATTTTAATTTTCCCGAGTAAACTCTCCGCTTGTAAATTATATCCTGGTTCAAGCATTTTACCGGTCGGATTCAGCTTGAATAGATGTTCCGCCTGATGGGTACCAAACAGATTACATATCACTTAGGAGATATTTAGGACTCTATTCTATTAGAAATGCAGAAGCTCGAACACCAATTAGGTGACATTTTTATTAAGATAATTAGACCCGTCCTCCAGTATGATCTTGTGTAGGTACTTAGGTAGGTACAAGATTTTGAAGATTTTCTATCTGATGATAGAAACAATGGTTTAGTGACATTACCTTTTACATGTGGAGGAAGATCTGTCATAGCCTCTACTACATATTATGAAAGGTACAATATACACATACAGTCACATAGTCCTATTTGGAGAACGAAGAGTATCTTCCTATACCTACGTAATATTAATCAAAAAGTAAATAAGATTGATTAGATAAATAAAGCAAGTTTATTTAACATTGAACGAAATTAGTATTTAACAACATCAAAATAATAAAATAAAATTAAATAAACACTAGACAAAAATGGCACAATCTCTACCAACATTAACATTTTTTGGAAGACTACTTGACAGAGGAAGTTTAAATAAATAAAATTAACAAAACACATAATTTTGTATAATACAAATAAAGGCGATTTTGAACTGTAGTTAGATATTATAAAGAATATTTGTAGCCGCCTAGTGTGTCAATATATTTGCGATCAAGACTCGTTAGACTAGAAGTGTCTTCGGTTACGGCTGCGTCGGCTTTACTTTGTAAAGTGGCCTCCTTGGGCCTTTCGTCAGTACATTCGTTCTCCAATCTGGTCCTTTCATCGTCTAATTGGCATTTTTCCTCCAACGCCACACCAAGTGGGTTTAACTTGAAAGTTTTTTCCGCCTGACGATTTCCAAAGTATTTTGTTATGATTAAAAAAACTTACAAAAACGTACAAATAAGCATTTACGTAACCTCTTTACTATTATTTATAGTTTAACAAATTCTCAAATGTTACCTGCTGATCACCAACTCACTTAAAGATACTTTTAATGAACAGTTTACTTACTAAGAAATCGATAGGATCCTCAGGTCGTAATTTAGCGACTTCAAGTAAAGCAGGAGTGAGGGTTGGGAAGATGTGATGAACCAAATAATTGCGCATGGGCTCGCCAGCAGCCGCCAATGCTGCTTCTTCTTCTTCGCGCATCATTGCGTATAACTCCGTCTATGGACGTGGAATAGGTTATAAATTGTTATATTAAAAATAAATAATTGGCAAAATTAAGACAACAAATGTATTAAAATATTTCAGCTTCACCCAATATTCCATTTTCTCTTCGCGTTCAGTTCTTAGTTTCTCCTCCTTTTCTTTTAGAGCTTTCGCTTCATTGGATTTCAAAGTCTCTTGTTCACATTTTTCTTTCTTCTCAGCAGCTTCAATAAGAGCTGTAAAGATTAGATAAATGTTGGTTTGTAAAATTTTTGATAAAGTAATATTTAAAGCAATAAATAAGCAAGTAAGGATTTACCGACCAAGAAGTTTTCCATAGCGGCAAGGTCGACCCATTCGCAGTGTTACGGCGGTGTATGGGCCCTTCATATCGTAATCTGTATGGTCTTTCACAGGCACCACTATTGGATGTATATCCAATTCGTCAAAGAAATTAAGGGGAGTAATTTCTCGAGTATCACCAGCTCGGAATTCACTTAATCTTCTCAGTGTAGTCTCTTCATCCAGACGAGAATATCCTTCCGGTTGTCTCATAGCTTTCTCGCAAATAAACTCATCAGTAGCTTCCAGCGATACTACAATATCTGTAATGACATCATCATCACATGAAATAAGTATTTTTAATTCCTGGAATAGAACGTGTTAGTACCTTTTTTAGGAAGTAGATTCATAAACTGTACAAAAATATAGTTATGCATACCTGGCAATAGCTTCTTAAGCACATTGCTATATAAATCCACATCTTCATCAAACGGTTCGTCACGAGTTTCTTCTCCACCTTCAGAATCCTGCTCCTCTCCTTTTTCAAATACTACAAATGGATTTATTGACTATGGTTAAGGTTAAATAGGTATCCTATTAGGTATGTACTTGTAGTTTCACTTTTAGTTTGAATATTATGTGTTTCATAATAGTTATATCCCAATTTCCATAAATTTATTTAAAATTCTCTAAAAGTTACTTTCTTAAATATTACTTACAAAATAAAAAATAATATTTAAAAATATAAAAATAGGAGCCGACAGTAGCGGGAGCATGGTCCAAGCTACCGGTGGTTAGGGCTCCAGAGACAGAAACCTCCTCACGATACGTGCCGTTTCTAGGAGAACTGCCTTCTGTATCAGGTCCTTGACCCATCCACCTAACACCAGCCTCCTGAGATGGATGTCGAGGCTTTTAGGGATTAACCCATTGGCTGACACGACTCGGCACAATGATGGCCGAATACACACTCCACATGTCGACAACCTCGTGAGCTAAGTCTAGATATTTTATAGATTATTATAATAATAGCACAAGTACCAACTTACTTGTTTGACATTGTGCTTGGGTCATGGGAAACCCGTCAAGTACCCATCCTCTGTTGAGAGCCTCACGACTTAACAACTTTTGACGAAGGTACCTAAGTAGTAGTGAACCAAAAAAGTAAATAGATGGTTAGGTATACATAGAAGTATATATGGGTATACAAACAAATTAGTACAGATATGTTGCAATATGGAACATAACTTTACTATTTTGTCTAAAAAGGAAAATGGAATAATAATAAGTGATTAAATTCATATGGAGGCGTTTGTAAAAGAAGAACCTCTGTGGTAGCCATAAAACACGACATTATCGTCCCTCAAAAAGTCTGGTAAAACACTTGGACCCCTTTAGTGTTGTGGATGTCCTTCGATCAACAATAACAACTAGATATCGGGTCAGCGCAAGAAAATCGTCTCGACAAATAAGAGCTCACTTGAGAAGTGAGCTCTTATTTTGTTTAGTATGCTCCAAACACGGCCAACGTACTCACGTCTCACGATGCCGCAGTGCATAATTGCAAGTTGCAAAAATAACAACCGAAAAAGCAGTATAACGGCTGGAGTGTCTTACTTTTGATAAATACATAAAGTATAAGTTATATTTTAAGTTTTTAAACTAGTAAATAATATCAAATTAGACAAAATTATCAATTATAAACCAACACCACCAATGTTTGTGCGTGTGTTGGCGATTCCTTGGCCAAGCCTCGCCAACATTTGTTTAAACAGAACAGTGGATGCATCGAGTCGATTTGTATTGAAAAATAAAATTGTATTGTTTCTTGCTCGTTCTTCTCCATAGGAATCTACACCTTGGAATGAGCAAATAGCTTCACTTTTAAATTTATATTGTTGACGTTCAAAAGTGCCTTCCTGGTCTAACTGAAATAAATGATTTTGACTTAGACTTAGACTTTTAATGATAAAGTAAATAAACATATCATACACAAAAACGTACCGCTAATAAAAATTAGTGATGTATACTAAGATCCCGAAATCTTAATTTTCATATTATAAAATTATTTTAGTGTCCAACGCGACTCCATACATACCTCCTGTAGCGAAATTCGAAATTTGAAGAAGCAAAACGTAACAAAACAAAACGATATAGATCGCAAGACAATAATGGAAAAATTATCTTTATTTGTTCGAGCTTAAGGTTGAATTCAAACTAAATATTGTATAACTTATGTCTTTTAATTTCTACATGACAGGAGTAAGAAAATACTTTTCTTGTCTTATGTGACGAATGGTCGTAAGTATTAGATAATATTTTGACGATTTATGACTATATTATAAGGTGCCATGGTTGTTATTAGGTTGAACTTAAAACTATTTTACAACATTTTTCTCTGTTTGTTATTTTTTTACTATTATTATTCACACGGACAGAACTGGAGCTTGATTTTGTACGTAACCCTTTATCTAGTTGCTATTGTTGATCGAAGTGGATGTCCATGGGCGATGTCGATTGCTTACCATCGGGGCATCAGGTGAAGCGTCATAAAAAATATATTACATAATAATTTCTTCATCGGAAAGCGGACGCCCCGACTGGAGTAAGGCCAAGGTTTGTCTAGCTTGTTCTTGAATTCCATCGTCTTCACCCTGGTCTTCATCATCCATTCCCAAGTCTTCTTCCTCAGGATTTGGAACAGCTATCGCTGCTGTTTCACCAATATCCCAATGTTGCACGCGCCATGTCTAAGATTCGAGTAGGTACATGATATAAAGATAAGTTCATAGATAAATTACTACGTTAACTAAGTGGGAACAATAAAATTGCCGGCTTAAAGTTTACTACACTTTACTAGTGGATGGACAAGTACTTATACCAAAGTGAAGGCTGGTTTGCGGGTTTTTACTCTGTAGGTACTGTCATGCTAACATTACAAGCAACCTAATAATTTTATTAGGGACCTACTTAAAAAATTACGTAGATAGGTTCTGCCTAGTGCATAATAATAACATAATTCATGAAAAAACAAAAAAATAATAATTTGGTTAAATAATTGAATAATATCGTGTACCAAGTAAGTATATCAAAACCAATGGGCAATACGGCGTCGGGTCGGTAGGGTACTTATTGCACGCATATTGATAATTTCACAGAGCTGATAGTTCTATCGATAATTTCACAGAGCTGATAGTAAACTATCAATTGAAACATATAGGAACTAAAAGTAGGTAGGTAAATATAAAACAGTTACTAAATCTTCCAGCAGATCTTGGGCCACGGTTTCAGGGGAAACGTAAATAAGACCGTAAGTATCACAAATACTTCTTGCCAAAGTTGTTTTTCCACAAATAGGCGGACCATACACGATAATCTGTGACAACGAACAATATGTAAGTGTAGCGGTTCACCTTGTAACAATAAACAACTGTTAGCTAAACCTTTTGATATCACGTAAGCACCTTAAATGGTTTCAATCCTCTCTCTTTCTTAAATTGTTTCATAAGAACGGGTATGTTATCAGCGAAGGTCCCTTCGAAAGTCCACTGCAGTCCCATTGTCTCAACGATAAAAGTTGGCTCCATGTTTAAATTAAGAGTCATCAAATCGTAAATTCTTTGCTGTTGAATAAAATAAGCAACTAGTGATTTGAAAGACAGGTAGTCGATTGCCATTGTAGATCAAAACAAAAGTTCCTTACATCGATTTCTGGAGTCAAAAATGCGTCTTCTGGTGGAATGCATTTGAACATTCCAGAACCGATTTGTCGTCCAAGTGGTTTTATTATCTGCAACGAGAATGTTTTATCTTACGCTCTAGTTGAAGAGATAACAAACTACATTGTTACTCACATCTCTTTGTTTCGAAACGTTCTGTTCTACTGCCAATACGTATAACTTCTTCGGGAAATCCATTATTAAGTTGTGGACAATTCTGAAAGTAAGTAGGCTACCAATGATTAATAGGAAAATTAATTGTTACGTACAGAAGTTTATTGTTCACTACTTTGAACAATAATTTACCTCGTACATCTACTTAATAGTAAATACATACAATAGTCATGAACCTTACGGATAGACAAATACCTAAATTAATTTTAAACTACATAGGTAGGTAATTATTTATATTTAGAATTGTTTAAATAATATGCCAACACGCATTGGACCGACGATATCGATTCAAATGTCTCTACCATTACTGTTAGATAGGCATAGGCAGGTCTGGTGGCCTATATGAGAAGAAAAATATAGGTGGGAGGGGGGGGGTTAATATAGGTATAATATACGATAATTAAACTACGCTTAAAAAACCGACTTCAATCCCTATTTTAATGAAGAACCGTTTTTAACACGTTAAACGCCATGGGGGTCACCGGTGACCGACGTTAGCGGAGAATTTACCTTCAACAGTTTTGTATTAGCGGTCGAAGTCTTAATAATTAATTACCTAATATATTAAAACTCCTAAGTGCAACCAACACTTTTCTGAAAACCGTACCAAAATTGGATCAACCAATCGCGAAATAATCGCGTAGATTACATACATACTTACTTTAATATTTCTGTGCATAGCTATCTACAGGTCAAACTGAGAACCTTTTTATTTTTAAAGTCAGTTAACAATTAACCCACCGGTAGAACATTCGAGTATTGGATGTCGGTTTTGAATTTTTTGATTCTCATATCGGGCCAAATATTCGGTAGGTAGTTTTATAAAATAGCACTTAAATAAAACTATCTAGGCAGATGATTTCGATTGTAATACTTACGTCCCCAAGTCCACAATATTTATCAAAGGCACTGAATTGTTTCCTCGACCTAGGATAGGAAGAATCGGTTCACACTCCCATGCTTTTTGAAACCAGAAGAAAAGCACGTCTTCCTTGCCTCCATAGGTCACTCCAGAGGCTACTACTATTGCTCTGTGTAAAAACATGTAACTAAAGATGTTGGGTTTTAAGGTTTAAGATTTATCACAGATTGAATTTTAAGTCGTTATTTTTCTGCGACTGAACAATTTATTTCAGCACAACCATGAAACTTACCCTATAAGTTTTCTATATTTTCTAGCTATGCCAATAACTTCATTTTCTACGTCATAATGCATTTTATAATTAGGATGCGGCCTCCTTTTACGAAAATCTGTTTCTACAAAAGGCATTTCAGGATTATCCTGAAAATATAGGAAAGTCCACACTATCTTATTACCTAGTAGTACAATGAGAAGGTAGTTACTACTTCAAACGTAAAACATAGGTAGGTAGTACCTACTCGTACTAAGGCCTCAGATGAGGGGCCATTTCTATATACTTATAGCGACTCGTTATTTCAGATAGCTTTTCTTACCGGATCTAAGGGTTTGGTGGAAGCCCAAGTCATAACGGTGGATATTAATATTAAGTAGCGTTTTTTGAAGTCAGGGGCGGTAAAGACGCTAGGCTCACCGGCATCGTCATCTGCCGGTGCTTGTTTTTCTAGCAACTCCTTCAGTACTGAAAATAAAACGGGTAAGTTATCAGCGAAGGTCCCTTCGAAAGCCCACTGCAGTGCCTTTGTCTCAACGATAAAAATTGGTTCTATGTATAAACTGAAAGTCATCAAATCGTATATTCTTTGCTGAACTTATAGGTAATTATGGTAAGCAGTGGTTCTGTGGTCATCTTTTGACTCAATTGATAATGATAATGTTTTGTACACGGTGTCCTTCAGATATGAAACGGCTTACGTACTTACCAGTCATATATTCCATTGCCAATTTAAGTTCTTCTCTATCGATACTAATATCAAGTACGACTGTGCCACATGTCAGCATTTGTCGTATGCTATCTTCTTTCGTTACGATCCTCGTAAGTTTCTCCAAACCCTTTGTATTTTCATTAACAACAGTCCCTATGTAGATTTTAAAAGAATTAGTTTTGTTTAGGATAAGTGATGCCTACTTAAATTGTATTTGTTTAAAAATACCTCCGATTATGATGTCTCTGGTTCAATCGCCATGTCGTGCGTGGCCATAAAAAGGTAGGTACAGTCAGCATCAAAAGTTGATGACTACATTTAAATTTTCAAAATCGCTGTACAACGTATTATACCTAAATCGCTCAACATGACAAGCGCCAGAAATGAATGATTATCATAAAAGGGCATAAATAGGTGACCATTACTTTTCAAAAGTCGCTAAACAAAGTTATAGTAAAAAAAGCAAAACATTCTTCGTCTCTAAAGTTTCTAAACAAATTTTAGACAAAAATAGCATACCATCGTTTATCTCTAAAGTCCCTGAACAATCCAGAGCGGCGTTGGAGGCCGTCAAGCGCGCCAACTCCCGCCGCATCTCAGCCAGCTGCTCGTGCTCCCCGCCAGCGGTGGGCAGCGTGCACTGCTCCAAGGCCGCCGACAAGATGCTGGCCCCCGCTTTGTTCATGAGGGCTTGCCTGGCCTGCTGGGACTTCTTCCCAGCCACCCTACGAAGCTCCTCCCAAACGGTCTGGCGAAGGCCCTCGGAGCCGCGCTTACTCTCGGAGCCGGGCTCGCCCTCCGACACCTCCATGGCGGAGGATTCTGAGAGGGCAGCGCTCAAGAGAGCCCTGCCCTCCTCAGCCAGTTGCCCGGCTGGCTCCGCGCAGGCGGCGGTTCCCGGTTTCCGGCGACCGCCGCCCTTGCCACCCCTACCCCGCGCCGCCGTGGGGACCTTAGGGGGAGGCGCCTCCTGCGCGCCAGAGGACGGGGACAGAACGTCCTCCTCCAGTCTGGGACGCTTACACGTCCCCGTCACGCGACGGCGTGAGCTCTCCGAGCTCACGCTCAATCGCTCCGCCAGCGATGTGTCGGACTCAGAGTCCGACCCCCTCCGACTTGACTCCCGTGTGTGGGGCCTGCTGGACGAGTCCAGCGCCTCACCACGAGTCCCAGAGCTACTTGGGCTCCCTTCACCCGCTACTGCAGGCGAGCTAAGCTCACCCGCACTCTCCTCCTCCAGATGTGGTTTTTTATTTTTGTTTTTTAGATTCAACGCCATAAAGTTCCCACGAGTATGGGGGAAATATTCGGTCCACCCAGGCAGTGCCCCCTGTACCTGGGTAAGTGAAAATTTGTTTCCCAACTAGAGGGTCCACTGGTCCCCTAGCTGGGGGTGCGCTCACGACTGACACTACTCCTCAGCCATGCATACTCTCGCCGCGCACCAGAACTTAGTATTGGAGGATTTTTTTATAGAGGTTATCTTCCTCGCGGTCCGGGCGACCAAGCCAAGACCCTCGTCCCGTTCGGAGTCACAAAACATGACCGTGACCTCCTTACGGATTACGATATCGACGGCTGCAGTCGGGGACAGCTTGTGTCCCGATGCTGCTCGCTGGCAGGGTGAGTGCATAACGAGCACCGCCCTGCCTCTCCGCCACGCTCTCTGCTAAGTTCAGAGAGACAGGCGGAGAAACGCCCCTCGGAAGCGCGGGCTATGAGCCTCCGCACACAGCCTGCCGCCTCCAGAACCCTATCGGGTTCGCCCGCCCAGTTCAGAAGTCTGCTGCGGGCGACAGTCACACCGAACCCTATCACCCCTGTTAGGGAGACTGTCGCCCGCACCCAGGGTGCACTACGGGGAGGTCTTCTGGCACCGCACCCCAACCACAATAGTCTACATCTGATCCAAGTGATAATTAAGTAAACAATTTTTCAAATACCCACAACTATGTTTCCCGAAGAATTGAATTAAAACAGAATTTGTGGTAATTTTGAAAATGAGTCTTATAAGTATACAGATTAAGTTCCAATTCAATTGTAACTATAAAAATCATAAACTAAGTCGACGGTATGAATTTGAACAGAATCTGCGTGATTTTTAAAAATGAGTCTTATTGCTTTACGAATAAGGTTACAATTCAATCGAACTTAAAAAATAATTAATTACGCGATGGTATAAATTCAAACAGAATCTGCGTGATTTTTGATAGTCAAATATAGTTACAATTCAATCGTAATACTAATAATAGCAACATCGTCAACGTTTTTTTAGTTTGCAGTTCAGCTACTTTTGATGGTATAAATTTACACGCTACAAATCCGAAACAAAGTAATGTTCAGTAACTTTTGTTATTAATGATGTTAAGTTATTTTTGGACGTTGCTGTGATTGCACTGGATAACCAAAACAAGCATTTTATATTGTCCAGTGACTTTTGTAAAACTTAATGGTATGATGTTTTCGGATATTATAACGATCAGCAATTTTTGACAAAATGGTGTTCAGTGACCTTTGACGAGTAGTGTTCAGTTAATTTTGAACTTTCAAGATGTTCATTCAATAATGGCGCCCTCTCTTGTTAAGCGATTTATGGGTGATATAATGTACAGTGATTTTGAAAATTTGAATGTGGTCATCGACTATTGATGCTGGCTGTACCTATATATGTATCATCGGGACCAGTCAAGTGGTTTAGGTAGGCCCTAAGTCGGTACTATGTGGGTAATGAAATGAATATTATTCCCAGATATCCCAGGATATAGGTACCTACCCAGAAACATACATCTTCGGAAAATAATATTTAGACATTAACCAAGACGGGGAATTTTAGGTTCAAATCCCGGTATAAAGTACTAAGAATAGGGCGTTATTTTGTAGCAAGTGCACTTCTTTAAGGAACTTGAAACGTTTAAAAGTGGACAGTAAATTGTAGGTAGGGCTAACCACTAATTTCTAGAATAATAAAAATGTTGTTTGCCTACCAATAATTTCGTAGGGCTGCTCAGGCGGAGGGGGCTCTATAACTCCCATATCTTCACCAAGAAGCGATTGAGAGGTATTTCGAGATGATGATGGTAGTGGTACAATATCTTTTTCGAACACCTTTGCCACTTCTTGCAAGAAATAGTCTCCATGGTACGAATCAACGTTATTTATAAAATATCTCTTGGGAGAATACAGTGTAGTTAAATCTACCGACGACTTGTCTGAAGACAGTTTCTCTGTTGATTTCTTCATAATTGTTTTGAAATACTATTCAATCACAAATTACTATTTGTGTTCTTCAGCAGTGCATTTGACATTATGACATAATCAGTGACGTATCGACAATCGTAAAGAAAAAGTATTTAAAAATATATTTAGGTCTGAAAATATAAGGTTCGTACCTACCTGAAGTCAGTGGCTTTACAACCTTTATGGTATTATGACTCAAAGTATGGTAGGGATGGAAGCAGGATCCTTTGAGATAGGTTAATGGGCTTTTAAATAGGCATAGATAAGGTTTTTTCAATAAACATACGCAGATAAAGTAAAATAAATATTTTATTATAATTCCAATATATTGTATTGTAGATGATGTAAAATAATACGAATAATTAACAGAAATATAATGTAGCTACAAGTATACGTAAATTTTGTCTTAAATCTAAAATATAACCAGTATATAACTTAACAAAAATTGCTAAAATATAATAAAATGTCATTAAAAATTCAAAGGACGATTAAAATTGCGATGTACCTAAATTAAAACATAGGTCTCTCATGAAGGCCTCTGCGTGCCTCCTCTCACTAAAATTAATCAATGCATCGAAAGAACTTATAAGTTCTAGAACTAAAATAAAGACGGAACTTAGGAAGTTCCCGTTGTCTAAACATGTAACATTCTAGCAATTAAGCACTCGTTGAATTAAGGCCAATTTCGCGAGTTACTCGCTACAAAACCTACATTAAATTTATTTAAAATCGAAGCATAATTAAGTACTTTAAGTTACAATTTAAGTACTGCGCTTAATATCTACATTGAATTAATACATTTCGATATGATTGTCCGACTTATTTCATAATGTTGATAAAATAACATGTGTCACAATATAAGTAATAGACACTTTCAATAAACAATAAAATTCATGTATTTTTTTATTACTGAGAGATAAAATTATTATAATACTCATATTAAAAATATATCGTTGGTCATAGTGTTGTGACTGCTTTGTACAAATAATTGGAGATGTAACCGAGTCATTATTATTATTCGCAGAGATTCTATACATACATATTAACCGGTAATTATAAATTGTTCCCAAGCACCTTGTTATATCCGTTAATTGGCACGTTATTTGTATTATGAAAGTTTTTTTAATAACGATCACCGTAAACTGTACTGTGGGCTTAGTACGAGTTTGTTTTAAGTTCAAAGTAATCCAAATGAGGCGTTCGGTGCTGTGATTGGATGATTCACTGGAGCCGGCCAATCAGAGCGTCGAACGCATACTCGTATCGACGTATTTTAAATGTAAAAAAAACTGGTACCAAGCCCTCTCCTTAATCAACGTAAGTACTTTGATAAACGAAAAATATACTTTGTAATGTAACATAAGCCTTAAAAATATGGACTTATTATTAATGTATCTAGATTGAACTTCATATTGTATGTAGGTGACGAATACATTAAAATTAAACAAATCAATTCCATAAATTATGTTGTTATGTCATGAATAAAACAGCATTTCTCGAAAAAAAAAATATACAGCACAATAGAAGACTTGTTGGCACTTGTATAGGTACTATTATGAATTGATATTATGGTACTTTTATAATCGCTCATTTAGATAAAATAATATTAGTTACATGTTATAAAATCTAGTCAAATCCATACGAATAACCGTAATTATTTCAAATACAGGCATAAAATACGTTAAATGGTGGAAAACTAAACATAAATCTATGATTTTAAATGGGTGATAAAAAATTTGATGCAATATGACTTTGAGAGTATAATTGAATGGCAATTTATTAGACTATGGCACCTCCTCCAAGTCCTTTCATTCGTTTTGTAATACTGATATGTCGTACTTATGCTAAAAGGCGTTACAGACTTACAGAATTATTGTTAATAAGGACGGCATCATAAATACTACCTGTAAAATATTACAATCGAGTGCATATTTAAAACCGACAAGTGTTATCCGTTCTGTTTTTAACAGCTATAGATCAAAGTACATTACCTATAAAAAGATATATGATATTGAAAATAATATAAATGTATAGCCAGCGACACGAAACCTGATACTGAGAAAGCACATGTGTATAAAAATGTACATAGGTACAATGATACACAGCTTTATGCAGCGAATATTTGAATAACATCATCAAAAACGTAATATATTTAATATTATTCTTATGTAAGAATAAATTATATATTTTCAATACGAGAGCTGCCTAATGTGACAAACCTACCTTGGTATTTGTCACATAGTAAGTATTGTAACCTTGAACAACCATCTCCATTTTAGATCGACTTTCGTGTCGTGTCAGACTTAACTACAGGAATGTACAGGAAATTCATATTTAAGTACAAAAATAGATTCTATTATTATGTACCTAAGCTAAGACACATTTCGAAATATTGCTGAGTGCGACAGTGAAGTACGCATGAAAAAATACAAGGACATAAAAAGTATCGATATCTACTTAGTACACCCAAGCGGAATGAAACCAGACGACCCATTATTATTTATCATATTGTGGTAACAAAAGGCATCATCTCGCTTTAGGTTTCCATCGAAACTTTGAAAGCGAAAATTTATACTAAGCAAGGAATGTTTATTCTTAAGTGCTTTGGACGGTTCTAATATAGGCGGACGAACTAGTTTAGTTGACGACAAAACTAGTTTTCCGAAAATCAGTTGCACTTAAATTAGCATAATACCTAATGCTGCGTCAATAAACTTTGTAGAAAAATATTGGAGATCACTGCTATAATACATTGCTACCAATGTTCTTTTTTGATTAACTACATTGATTCATTACTAAATCTACGAATAGGCGATTTTAAGGCACTAAATAATAATTTCATTATTTTAAAAGCAAAACATGGAATATTACTCTATATTGTCATTTTTTAAAAAAAAATTGTCATAATATTTGACTCAATACAACTACAATTGTGTAGTGATAACGGACTTACGGTGGATTATTGTGATTTCCTTCTCTCCGATCCCGGACGGTGAGCTCGGTTCAGAAGACACGAGCCAGGGAGAAAGGGATGATATAGGTTGCACCTTGGGAGTTACATCTTCCTTTTTCTCAACCGGTTTTGGTGACGCTAATTTTGCTTGATTATGAGGAGGTTCCACTACCACAATTGACACATATTGAGAGTTGATGGGATTTGTAGGTTCATTTAATATTTTCGGTGACGGGGTAGATGGTATGGCCAAGTTAATGTTAGTAGACTCATTTATGACCTTCACCTCATTTTCTCTGGCTTTCAAAATATTATTACACTTTAGTTGCCCTGGTGGTAGAGCCTTAGTAGAAGAGAGGTAGCATTTTGTCTGATTGTTAGGTACTTCCTTGTCATTTGCAGAATCCAACTGATCTCTCTTTGCTTCATTTTTAGAATCATCATTATTGAGTTTTTCTTTAACCAAACTCATAAGGAGATCATTCAATGGGTTTGATTCATTAACAGGCGAACAACTGCAGGCTGGCTTGTTGATAACAAGTTGAGTTAAATTGTTCTTCTTATCTTCATTTAGGGATTTGTCCATTTTGAATAGCACCTTATTGCTTATAGCGTCATCTTTCGACATCAACACTTCTTCAGTTGGTTCTTCATTGAGAAGGTTCTTGGTAGATGGTTCACCAATCTCAGGTTTAATCTCAGCATCAATAAGAGATGACTTCTGAGATTTAGCACTGCTCTTTCTAGATAATGTATCAACATCAGGCAACAAGACTGCTGTGTCAGACGATGTGCTAGGCATTTCGTTAGCTGGTTCAGGTGGGGCAGCCTCTGGTTTGACTACATTCTGTTTTTCTCGTTCCCTCAGAACGTGACTTTGTCGTCGAGCAAACCTTTGACTTGGTCGTCTTTCAAATTGTACAGTGCGTCGGGCGCGGTTTTGCTGTGTAGTCTGGTACTCCGTTTTTCCGGAATATTGGAATCGAGAGCCCATTCGGAAGAAGTTTTGTCGAGCTGATGGACCTTTCACTGGTGCTCTCAGGCGGAAGAAGGTGTGGTGTTCCACAGCGCATTTCCAAAGGTGTTTACATGCTTTTTCATTATGCAACCTGAACACGAATGTATGCTCTTGTTCCCGACCTTGGTCATCATCTTCCACCACAACAAGTGTAAGTTTCTTTTTCTTAAAATCAAGCTTGCTTATCTTGGGCCAGAAAAATAAACCAATTTTTTGAGGTCCTTCAAAGACCAGTATGCCTGTAGGTGTCAATCCCAAATGATATTCACAGCCATCTTTACCCAAAACAATGTGCATGTCAACACCATACATTTCAAGCCACTTTGCTTTGTTCAAATAATTGACTTCAGCTTGTGCTGGCGTTAGTCCTTTACATTTTTTATATTCTTCTAATATTTCAATTTCCATCTCTTCCGTTTGGTTAGGCACAAACCTAAACTCTGACACAGTTGCAGGAGTGTGAACATTTTCATCAAAGTCACCGAGCTCTGATTGCAAAGCTAGTGCTGCTAGTTCAACTGCAGTAGAGTGTGGACACTCAAGTTTGCTTTCTAGAATGTCTTTTTTCAATTGTAAAAAGAACTGATATCTAGTTAGTTCTTCTCTCAAGTTGTTGGGCTCAGAAGAATAAAACTTCACTTTAAGTCGTAGAGTGTAAGGTGGTCCTATTTTCACTTGTTTTTTAATAGTTTTAGTGGGATCCAACCAATGTTTAACATTATGGGTGTCAGTGAATTGCAATCCAAAGTAGTCTTTTTCTATCAAATCTAGAGAATAAAATACTTGTTCATAAAGGTCATTGGCACTGGCCTTCTTAGATAAGTTTATAGACAAATCTGTGTCATCAAGTAATAGAACTTTGCATTGTATTAAATTTTTGTTGCTTGATGCCTTCTGGGTTTGTTTATTGCGATTTTGGCTTGACGAACGCCCCCTTCGGCTCAGAAAGCGCAACATCCTTAACTGGATGAGATCTGAAAATATAACACTAAATTGTAAATATTCTGGTAAAGGAGATTGCAAAATTAACGCTTCGTAAATTTGCTTTAGCAGAGGTAACTGTCCAATAGGTAGTTCAACTCATTTGCAAACTTAATTGAATTAAGATACAATGTGTATTTTGTCAATACAGCTTTACGCTACTTTCAAAGCTAGTTTACTGAAGTAAAGGGAAGATTGGCTACGTACTTGTATATACGTATAGAATGATCTCAAAAGTTGCAAACAAGTTTATCAGTTGATTTTGACATCATTTCAATAAAAGTTTTAAAGCAAAAGCAACTTACGGAATCCAACTGTTTCTGTATTCAACAACTCAACAAGAAAATGCACCCACTAAAACATACGATATTTTATTTATTTTTCTCGATGAATCTCAAATATATTGCACTCAACAAGTGAACAGCACGCCTACGAACTATGTTTTTAACAGATAATAACTAGGTACTAAACTAAGTTTAGTTGATGAAACAACACGCCAGCCAGCGCCACCCAGTCGTCATTTCGTTCGTCGATTATAAAAAGTTCACCAATTAACCAAACTGGCAACAATTTAACATTAAGCAATGTACTCATTGAACTCATTCTCGCCCTCGGTTAAATTTCCTCCATGGACCATGATGATTTTCCCAGCAATAGCTAATTAAAAATAAAATATAAAATGCCCACACTTTTATGTTATTACTGACTTTTTTAACTGTATGATTTGATAGTAAAAAAAGCTTAATTATGTACGGTCGAATTGAGAACCTCCTCCTTTTTGTGAAGTCGGTTAAAAATTGATCACAAAATAAAAAGAACTAACTATGAATATATTTATGTATAAAAATATTAAATGACAATTATAAATACAAATTATTATTTCGTTTAAACATTGAATTGTGACGGGGTTGTACCTAAAAATTTACACTACGGCAACACTCACGATACATAGTGATTGTGAACGGGGGAAGGGAGAAACATTTTTGAAGGGAATCAAGATTTGTCGTAGAATCCTTCTGTCATACTGAGCAGGTTGAAACATTATTGTGGGTACGAAATTGACCAGAAAGTTACAAAACAACAAGAAATAAACCGTAAGTACATTTTATTGTATTTATAAGCAACCGTTTTAGCAAGATAGGTAATATGTGTTCACGTTTTATAACCAACAAAAAGTTTTATGACAGGTTTTAAGATTTCGCTTCGGCAGGCTGCTGTCGTCATTACATTATTTTCATTATCTATCCTCCTAGCGTAATTACACTGATTTGTTACTAGTATTTTTCGTTTCTATAATCATCGATAGATCAAGTAAATACAATACAACATAAAATATTCCTCATTGCAATCATCTGTGTTCCTTCTAACTAGGTATAACATAATTTTGTAATTGTGTTCCCCTAGTGGTTATGTATGTGCATGAAAAATTGGTCTGGAGGAAATCCCGACATAAATAATTCATTGTTTTGCATGCAATATCATTGTTATCATGATCTATAAGACATGACCATGATTTACATTTAACTCGTCGAGTACCGGTTTTGCAGACATAATTATAGAACAATAGGTTGCGGTCACCGGTGACCGCTTGGTATTTGACAGTTTAAAATACCCTACTCCTTTATATTACTGAATTTGTTTATTATTTCATTTATTATATAGATGATCTAACACCATAGCAATTGAGAATGTGTTAATATTTCAGATAGTAGTGTATAAACAAGTATAAGCTTTCTAAAGTCTTAAACATGCAGTATTAGAATCTTTCTTATTTTGCAGATGCCTGTTGCTGATGAAATCCAGTCCTCATGGGCTGACGAGGTAGAGATCGATCAGGGAGCACTGCCTCCTCCATCCGAAGTAGTTGAAAATGGATTGAAAATTGTAACAGAATATAAATATGACAATGACAACAAGAAGGTTAAGATTGTCCGTACTTACAAAATTGAGAAACGTGTGGTATCTAAGGTAAGTGAATTTTCTTCAATGTCTACATATATCGAGGGGTAACGGACTATTTGGTTTAAGCGACATTTTGGGCGATATTGAGTTATTATATATATTCGACGGAGAAAAATTAGCTGATTCCGAATATATATATAACTCAATATCGACCAAAATGTCGCTTAAACCAAATAGTCCGTTACCCCTCGATATCATTCACATATACAGTGAGACTCAGGGCACCAGAACTTATTTGAAATTGAATTGTGATTGTAACTATTGTATATGATATCGCTAGAGTTGCTGTGATTATAAAAGTGTTTTGTTATTATTTTTGTATAATACATGCTAAACACTGTGCTTCTTAAATTAAAGTTCTGAACTATTTTTCTGATATTGTTACAGTATAGTATACAATTAAACTAATACACAGCTAGTGTATTAAATGCTATTTTTATTATTATTTAATAATTCTAATACATTTTACATAAAATGTTTTATAATATAACATTTACATGTTATTTGTTTTAGGACATCGCTAAGCGTAAAACTTGGAGCAAATTTGGTGACTCCGCCAACGACAAACCTGGTCCAAACCCTGCTACTACTAATGTAGCTGAAGATGTGTACATGCAGTTCATTACCAGCAAAGAGGAAAGCCAACGCCCTGATGATGGCGAACTTGATGGACTTAAGGTATGCATAGCATAAAGAAAGTAGGAAGGATGTAAAGTAGGAATTGAGACAACTTGTCTTTTTAAAGCCTAATTTTTTTCCTATTATTTCTAGTAGTATCTTATATAGTTTTTTTAAAAGAAGTATTTCAATGGGAATAATCTATTATTTCAGCCCCAAAGCAGCAGTGTGATCTTCAAGTGCAGAACCTGTCAAGGAGACCATTGGACCTTGAGCTGTCCATTCAAGCACACCCAACTGGCTCAAGCTAAAGCGAATGAAGCCGCTAAAGCTGCAGGTAACTTACATTATTATAAATTAAACATATTTATTTACATTATTATAGAGAATTAAAAGTCAATTATGTCCATAATAGTCGAAATTCTGAAATCGGAACTGACTGTACTAGTACATAAGAAAGTCATGCTCATCTGTCATTCATACCTATTGTGATTGTAAAATCATAGGTCAGGATCTAGACCGAAGCAATAAATGTTTAGTATTTGTTTGACAAAGAATACAAATATTTATATTAGTGATTGTATTGTATTCATAACATGGAATGTGTTCATTAATATTTTAGTCTTATATTGTTACTTTATGATGCATCGTCATAATCATATTTTTAGCCACAATATCTCCACTGAACATAGGCATTATTTATAATAATATATGTTAATTTTTCAGACTCAAAAACCACCCCAACCAACAAATACGTGGCGCCGTTCATGCGCGAGGGTGGTGCTGGTCGTGGTACCGGGCGCGAGCCGCCAGGTGCCCGCCGCGATGACGTCGCTGCTATCCGTATTTCCAACCTTAGTAACTTCGCGGTCGAAGCTGATCTTGACGACCTCGTCAAGGGTTTCGGTCCCGTACAGAAGTTGTATCTCGCCAAGGAGAAGGTAATTAGTATGATAATTTATTCAATGCGATATACAATTATAACATATACCTCATAATAGATACACAATCTATAGGTATATAGGTATAGAAGAAAGTCGTGTTAGTTACACTATTTTTAAGAATGCCTAAATCGATTTGGATGAAAATCGGTGGGGAGGTAGATTAGAATCAGGAGATTTTAGACAATATTTTTTTTTACTTTTTATCGAAAATCACGCGTACGAAGTCGCGGGCAGAAGCTAGATAGTTATAATAGATATGAATTAGTATGATGTCCTAATTGTTAGTTGCTTAATTAATATTGTCGCAAAATAAAAAAACTCATAGTTATTTTAACTGTCTTTACGACCCATTTTCTCACAGATAATCTTACGTAGATAAAAAAAACTTAACAGTTTTTAATTTAAAATTTTTCTTTTTCAGAGCACTGGCCATTGCAAAGGTTTTGCCTATGTACACTTCAGATTCCGTGCTGATGCTGCTAAAGCTATCCAGACACTTAATGGTCACGGTTATGATCACTTGATCCTCAACGTAGAATGGTCAAAGCCTCCTCAGAACAATTAATTAACATCAAAATTTCCATATTGTATTGTATACTTGTAATAAATTTCTAAAAAGATACATAATTGTTTTATTTATCCTCTTCTTATTAAAATTACTAAAATAAAAAAACCAGGCACTACATGATGTTAGCTATTGTTAATTGATGGCATGGTTGGTGCGGTGGTTGGATAACCGACTGCCGCGCAACGTGTCGCGGGATTGATTCCCGCACAGAGCAACTCTTAGTGTGATCCACAAATTGTTGTTTCAGGTCCGGGTGTCATGTGTATAAGATCTTGTATGTTTGTAAACACATAAAATTATAAATAAATAAAGTGGTTCCCATTGGTATAGTAATTTTGTTGGATGACATTTCCCCTAGCTTTTTGTATTCAATGATGAAGACAATGGTAACTATTATCACATAAAACTTTCATTAAGATTCAGGAGGAAGGAGTCAAGGATTGTGGCTGGCCTGGTGTATTGTAAATGGCTTGCTCCCTTTCGTACTTTTGTATTAAGAGTGATGTTGCCTGTAGTTATATAAGTATGGCTGTAGGGGTTTTCAGCTTACTTGCTAACACAGACAGTTGTGTAATTTGTATCCAGAAAAATATATCTATGACACTAGGTGTACTATAAATAGGCATAACTTGTTTTACTTCAAAGGATAATTTCAGTTATGAACTTACATACTTCAGGGGCTAATGTCATCACCCTGTAAATGTCCTACTGTTGGGTTTTTTACCACACTTTCTGAAGGTGGAATGATAACTTCAATCTAATTGTAATAATAATTCCACTGGTTTCCAATGCAGGAGGAATATATACATGTCAAATTAATTGCTCAACAATAATTAATTTCAAATAGCATACTCAAGATATGAAAATAAAATGCAGAGATGAAGTTATTCAATATTTAATCAAAGCACTTAGTGAGAGACTAGACAGACTTCGAAAGACACAACATCAACATGCTAGAAGGTGCATCAAATAACATAACATGTAAGACTTAACCACTACCAAATATGCATAAAAGTAAATATACAATGTATTAATTTGATAATCAGAAGAGCAATAACACAAATCATTTAAATATCAATATCATACTTCTCATCATCACTGTTAGGGCTATATGTCTCATCAGGGAGCTGCACCTCACCACAAAACATAAGTTCCACATAATGAAAATAATCTAAAGCAATATTAGTAAGCATAGCTCCGGTAGTAACACCTAACACAGTGCCTATGACTGGCCTTTGACCTACTGAACTTCTGAGTATGGCCCATAAGAAAATAGATCCAAGAGGCCATAAACAGCCACCTAAAAATGCCCAAGAAAAACGCCTAGCTGGTGCTGCAGCTGCCATGTGTGGTCTTGCCCAGAGCCAGAGTCCTGCACCACCACCCGCAGTTAAAAATAAAACATCTGTTACATCTCTCTGCGGAAACAACCTGTAACAAATAAATTATCACTTAAAAGTTGCTTAAATGAACTCATAATACAAATTAATGATGTCATTATTTTTAATGTTTACATACCTGACCATTAGGTGAGGGTTCATTACACTTACTGACAAAGTTGTGTAACTAACCAGACCTTGTAATGGTAAATAATAGTACAGTACATTGTCCTTAGTAAAAGGTGGCAACCTCACATTCGACACTGATTTGTTCAGAAGATCAACAGTTTTTGGTACTGATCCTGACCAATTTATAACTTGCTGTCGAACGTTCCGGTAAATCTTCTCCAGAATATCCATTTTGATACAAAACGAACTATGAGATCAAAACAATTCGCACTCTATGTATACTAATGCAACGTTAATAAGGTTACGTCGCTGCACATTATTTGGCAACAGCTAAGGTTTGTGAAGTTATTTATACTATAATTTTATTCATTATATACTTGCACCGCAAAGAAAAGGTGATTGCAAAATGCAAACACAGACAGACAGATTGCGATGGAAATGAAAGCTAACATCCATAATGACATGTGACAGATGTCAATAGTGTTGTACTGTTATAAAATTAAGGATCATATTTGTGAGAGCTATATCGGAAGTAGACTAAAATATAAATTAATAATAATCTTTTAACCAATTAAACAAAATTTTAGATTAGCATTAAGATTATGGTAATGATTAAGTATTAGTTATTGTATTAACCACGACATGATGGAACGACTATTTTGTAGATAACTTCATTATGAATATAAATTCTAATTTGTTCGTTAGGGTATTATGTTCTGTGCGTGAAAGAAGTTAAATAAAGAAAACGTTAGGCTTGTTGAAAGTAGCCTAAATAATAAGTTACTTTTATATTGAATATCGAAAACAAAATTACATCACCACATATCACATGATTTAGTGATTGTCTCGTTGGTTCAGCGCGAAATTCAAATAAAAGGATTGATACGTCGTGGGTTCGAGTTCTGGGTCCAGCACTGAGCAACCTTTTTTGGAATGGATATTATGAACCTATTTTAGATATGGATGAAATGTCTGTGTAAAATTGGTTTGTACATAATATACTTAATAAATGCATCAACAACATATTATGTAAGAGTCACATTGTGTGGCAGTTTTAAAAAATATGCCTACCAATCATCTTGGTGAAGGATGTCTCTTGTAAGGGTTTATGAATAAAAAGTACTCAGTTTGCTTAATTGCTTGCTTTTATTTTAATTAATTTGGTGGCAATTTTAGCTTCTTTAACTTTATCTATTAAACTTTCTCCTATAGGACTAGTTGCTTCTATATCTAAAGTACTGAAATCAGTTGTAATATCCAGACCTTTCCTCCACTTTTCTAAGCCATTCCAAGCTATCATAACCCCATTATCAGTACATAACTTTGGAAATGGTCTATATATGTTATAATTAGTTTCATTGCATAACATTTGTAAAGCACTAAATATATAATTATTACATGCTACACCACCGGACACGACAAGCTGCTTTCTATCTTCTGGTATTAAATTATTATCTTTACAAAATTCCATAGCTCTCTGTGTTCTGTGTATAAGATGTCTAGTGGTAGCCATCAGCATAGCTGCACATAAGTCATTCACCTCAGGTATTAGTTCATGTGCTACAATCTTGTGTTCTTGTTCTTTTTTGTACAAATGGTACATAACTGATGTTTTAAGACCATTAAAACTGAAATTACAATCCCTGTATTCAGCTAAAGGTAAGGCAATTTTGAACATGTTAGGATTTGTAGCTTTTGATGCAGCTGCCTCTACAGCTTGGCCTCCACATATTGTAGAATATTCAGGTACATTTCTCAATTTCATACTTCTAGCCACTTTATCAAAAACTTCTCCAGGAGCACAGTCCATGCTTTCTCCAAGTAATTGAAAGTGATCAACATCTTGTACAACAGCAAGGAGGCAGTGCCCTCCTGATATTAGTAGCACTAAAAATGGAAATTTGATATCATGATGCATTCTCGCCACAAGTGCATGAGCCTGCATGTGGTGTATGGGTATAATGGGTTTGTTAAATCGCCGACCCAGGTGTTTAGCATACTTCATTCCTATTACTAGACTGAGAGGTAGTCCTGGTTTCAAAGTAACTGCAATAGCCGAAATATCTTCCATTGATAGTTTCGCTTCCTCCAATGTTTTTGTAACAGTTGGTTCAATATGCATTCTATGTAAATCCTGTGCAATATCTGGTATGATTCCTCCATTTCTCAAATGCATTAAATTTTGTGAATGACAAACTTCAGATAATATTTTACCATTTCTATTAATAATAGCACAACCAGTGTCGTCACACGACGTTTCAATACCAAGTATATTTATATTTGCACTCTGGCGATTGCTAAAAGCTCTTGGTTTAAATAAATATTGTTTGCTTAATTTATTTACAAATTGTGAACACACTAAACGCTTTAATGTATTCATGATAGATAGTATTTTGATTATTTGTTCTTTCTAAAATTAGATTATCTTTATTCAATCTCATTCACTTGGTAATCCATACGAATATCATTTAAATCTAAAAATAAGAAGGATTACATAGTTAAACACTTCTTTAACCAGATAGATAAACTGAAATCAATGTATTGAACATAATCCAATGTTTTGTATTACCTGTCTAGCATATAGTTTCTTTAAATATCTTTATAACAATAAAAATAATATCTATTTTCATGAAACATAACCTCAATAATTACAAAATTTTGTTTGACATGCTTGACATTGACATTTCATGACATTTGATATTCTCCCGTTCACAACTTTTTAAATCATAGACACAATAAGTAGAGGTGTTCAAGTGAACACATCTACTTATTGTGTTTATTCAATTTAATTATTTGATGTTTATTTTCAAAATTGAATTATTTGATATTTACTGACATTCTGTGATGCCGAGACGCAAAGTTAAATTAAAGCAAATAAAGTTAAATGTAAAAAAAAATCGGTTACACGATATCTCTAGTTTGCGGGCATAGTGACAAAATCGAGACATAATATCTGATTCTCTAGGACACGTGTCGCGGGTTCGATTCCTGCAGAACAGCTTTGTGTGTGATTTACAAATTATTGTTCTGTAGCTAGAAGCGGTGTGTATGCGAATTTGTATGTTTGTTAAGGCACTCATAATATACCTAGAAAAAGAAGTAGGTGGAGCTGCGGAGGTGATAGATGTTGGTGGAACTTTCCCTACCGGTAAAGTTGTAGGTGGTTTTCTTTTCCTAATTCAATAGTTTTACATCTTAATAGGTCTCCTAAACAAAAATACACATAACTAACCAAATGCACTGCACAGGCTATACAGTTAGTACGGAGCTGGGTAAACCGCTGTTTCGCCATTCGTTCGACTCCTGTCCAGAACACATTCTTTATGTGATTCAGAATTCCAGTTTTGGGTCACGTTAGATTAGTATCACAAATAAATCAACCTGTCTATAGTATGATTGTATTAATAACTAGCTTACTTGCGAAAACTTTATACCGCCTAACTATTTTTTCTCACCTTTTAAACTGTCAAACACCAAGCGGTCACCGGTGACCGCAACCTATTGTTCTATAATTGTGTCTACAAAACCGGTACTCGACGAGTTAAATCTTCCCTGTACTTCTACGAACATTAGAAGACCAAAATTAGCCAAATCGGTTCACCCGTTCTCGAGTTTTAGTGAGACTAACGAACGGAAATTCATTATAGAAGATTATTGTCTCACAAGCACGTAGCAAGGGATGGAGAAAGAGAATGAACAAGGGATTTTGGGTCATTATGTCATTAAAGCTGGGAAAAAATTGGGTACCTACCTAAGTTTTTTTTTTAAGGAGGGAAAATCATCGAATGACTGCTCCCGCCTGGGTGAGGCGGGAGGGAGTGTCAGACTCTTACTGACTAAAAACCACCCCGTTCCTTCTCCTGCACGTCGAGCCGGAGCCCCGGTTACCCGTTAGGTTCTCCGCGACGTACCTACCTAAGTAATTATACGAAATTGGGTAGTTTCCATGGTAAGAAAATTAAAATTCTAATTAGTCCTGTGATGTTCACTGATTTGAATGATGTTGACAGATTTGAATATGGAAATTTATAATAAAACAACTTTGTTTATAGTAAGTAGTGCACCGTTTAAGGGAACGTTCGCCCGCCACTTCTTACAGATGGGAAGTGTGTGGTGCGACACCGTTGACCTGTGACTACATTTATTGTTTATAGATATATCACAAGTCCGTCTGTTAGATATTGAAAAAATATTAGACACGTATTTTTTTATTTTCTCGTATAAAGTTATAATACTTAGATAAAATGGAGTTAAGTTTAGGAGTGGGAAGTAGTTACGTCACAACGTGCTACATTTTGTTGCACGCTGTGACTTCACACGACCATTCCAATCAATATATCGTCGAAAGCATTTAATTTTGTGAGAGAAGAAAAAATATGTGTGTAATGTTTTTAAATAATCTACCAGACGGACATTAAAATAAAATTTAGGAAACTAGCCAATTTTCAGTACCTAGTACGAAGCCTAGTTATCAGTAAATAACAATAGTCTCATCTTTATTCACCATCATTATCATTATTTAATCAACCACAAGACGTCTACTGTAAATATATATGTAGGTACCTTTTGGAGATAAAACTCACGGTGTTACTGGAGTAATTGTAATGTTAAAAAATAATTAAAAAAAAATAAGTAAAAAAAATAATGTTATATCGACTAATGATCCAGATTTTAATTTCCAAATACGTTAGAATTTAGATTGATTCAGAACGGTCATACCTAAGTTAATTTTAAATCACTTTTGCGTCTATCTTGCCACATATTTACAATAGCTAGTTACGTACATGGTTGTAGGTATGTGTAATATATACATAACTATCCTTATCCCAGGTACAGGTAGGCAACATGCGCCGAGTAGCGAGCTTGTTTTGTTTATGTTATGTGCATAATTTCGCGGGGAGGAGATCGTTTGTAATTCGATGATTTCGTTCCGTGGCGTCTTGCGATCTGGTTGCACGATACGGAGAATTGTAAAAAATGTACAAGTCATCTAAAATATTTTCCAATCGTTTGAAATATGTGAATTTAGTGTCGTACGTAGCGAAGTATGGGCGTGACAAGGCACAGAACTGTGATGTAAGGAGTTTTGAAGAAATCCCAGGACCTAAAAGTTATCCCATAATAGGGACGCTTCATCAATATGCACCTTTTATTGGTACGTGTCGATTTTAAATCTGTTATATTTATGATAGTTGATAGGTACAATAACAACGGTAAGTAGGTGTGCTTAATCGCTCGTGCACTGATATGAGACACAATAGTAAATACATTGTGTCTCGCGTGGATCCACGTTTAGACATACGAAAGGTTCAAGAAAGTGATAAATAACCAGTAGGTACCTGGAAAACTAGATAAGATTTTTTTTTGTATTTTATAAGTAGCTGACCTAGCAAACTGCGTACTGCCTAATATTTTTGTCTCACCTTTTAAACTTTTTTTTTTTTTTTTTTTTTTTTTTTTTTTTTTTTTTTTTTTTTTTTCAT